TCCGATGTCACTGGGTGTTACCAGGCACTGAAGGTGAAGATGATATGGTTAGTTTCCTGTGGTATGTTTTTTGGTTCCTAGAACGCGTGCGAGTAATTCCAATAGCTTTCATAATTTGCTGACTGAAGTGGCTTATGCTGTGTTTAAGTAGCAAAATTGACAAACTGTGACAGTTTTTTAGCTGATTTCCTCCTGTTCTTTGGACAGAGGTTTAAAATATCTTGCATAATGAAATTTGAGCAATTAGCTTTTAAGAACTATTTGACAAGTTGAAAGTGTTCTCTTTTTTTCCTGAACTGCTTTATAGCACTGAGTATGAATTCCTTTTTGATTTTTTTTTTTCATAGTTCTGATTTTTATCAGTTCCCTAAACCCTTGTATTTTTAACAGTGGGATTTCTTGCCCTCAGTTGCAGCCTGGAAAGCAGTGCAGTTTCTCCAGTATATTTAATTCTTCTTTTAAAATTGTTGTGTAGACATCTCACATTCTGAGCTTGGATGATATTTCAGTTGTACCTCTGTGTCTGGCCACTGCTCTGCCTTTTATACTTCACTGGAGTACCTCTGGTCAGGTGAAGGACACAGTAGCAGTTGTGTCACTCATAATCTGAATCGATCTACCACTGTATGAGCTTTTTCTCTTATTTGCCCAAGTTTCAGTGAGACTCAAGGATTAATCAGGCTCATTCATGTGAGCCATAGTCAACAAGGTGCTCCTCTGATTCTGGAGACAAGCTCTACCACTTGTGCTGCAGCCTGGGGTGGGGGTTTTGTGGGTTTTTTGTGGTTTTTTTTCTTGTTTTAACGCCTCATTTGGGCTTCTCAACCTGGGAAGACACAAATGATGATATGGGAAGTGCTGTTGTGAAATGCTTCATGTAGCCTTAGTACCTGTGATTGTTTAGATATAGAACATGTATTTTTCCCCACTTAATTTGCTTCCCCTCCCCCCAGTCAGTTTGCTCAAATCTTTCTCCTGTTTCTGACTTGAATGTTTGGACTCCTGTTTGCTGGCATAAAGACAATATTGTGTTTGTGCTTCCATTGTTTCTAATGATGAATTACACTTTCCATGATTTGCCACAGGAAATGAATGTTGTTTTTTGGTTTTCAGATACATATACATGTTTCAGATACATATACATATATATCAGATACATGTTTTTCAGATACATATAATCTGATTATTATTAATATGCATATCATATTTTCTCAGAAGCAAAAATGAAAACTATTTCTGCCACTCATTTCTTACTAGTTAATAAGAAATTAAGTGGATATAAGTATTACTTTGTAAGTGGTTTTATACATGACTTTTTCAGTTTAATTTGTATTTGTGGACAACTTCTCAAACACATTTATACTTAAAAGAGTGGAAGCTGCATGTTCTTTAGAAGGCATCATAGTTTCAGGAGTGAGGAGTTAATCCCCCATCAAATTAGCAAACTCACAAATAAATCAAAATCACTGCAACACGTTTTTAGAAGCCTTCTTTGAACATGGAAGCAACTTCTCCTGGAAGCATCTGGTCACTTTCTGCTGTGTTGTGAACGCTGTCAGTGATGGAGACCCTCTCTCTTGCCCTGCAGGAGCCAGTTTCAGAAGGACCAGTCCCTTGGGTCAGCAAGAGCAGCGTAACGTTTGTGGCAGAGCAGGTCTCTCATCATCCTCCAAGTAAGTTGACAGGAGCTCTGCTGATAGAGATGGCATCTGGATAGGAGCGACAGGGGAGTCAGCTCTTGGTTTAAATCTTGGATCTACATTTTCTCTCCAAATTTAGCAGCTGAAAGTTTTCTCTATAAACTGATTTTGTGAGAAACCAATTGCTAACTCTGTTGCCACATAAATATGAGGCACTTTGAGATATTTCCTGATGAATTAATTTGGAAACAATAGTATCAGTGTCTTGTGTTGCTGTTCTTAATACCTTTTTCTTCAGTTTCAGCATTTTATGCAGAGTGTTTTAGCAAGAGGATACAGTTCAATGCTCACATATGGACCAAGTCAAAATTCTTAGGAATGTCTATTGGAGTTCATAACATCGGCCAAGGTGTGTGTGTGTAAATTTAACAATAGAAGAGAAATTTGCGTTCTGCAATTAGAATTTTTAAATAAACTATTTAAAGTCATCCTATTAAATATAAGGAATGTTTGATTGTATATAATTTGACCCTATGTATCTAGGAATCAGTGATTCCTTCTGCACAGTGTGCTGAAATCATTTAGGGCAGAGTTTTTCACGTAAACCTGCCTTCTCTAGAGGCTGGGTGTTCTCAGCCTCTAAATGTTAGTGAATTGTTCCAGGAGATCGTTACGAAAAGTTTTGTTGAGGTTTTGCTGCAGGCTTTTAAAATCTGTTTTCATTTTTCTTTGCTAGGGTGCGTCACATGCCTAGATTATGATGAACACTACATCTTGACCTTTCCTAATGGCTATGGGAGGCAAGTAAACACTGTATTTGGTATTTTCATTTTTAATGCTGTGTAATATTTCATTATTGATATTTATCAGTTAAAAGGTAATAAGTATATACATATGTTTATAATTGCAGGTCTATTCTCACTGTGCCATGGATAGAACTTGGTGGAGAATGCAGTATTAATTGCTCAAAGACAGGTTATAATGCTTCCATCATCTTCCACACAAAACCGTTTTATGGAGGAAAGAAGCACAGAATTACAGCTGAAATTTTGTAAGCAGTTTTTTTTCCTGCTTTTTCTCTACTTAAATGCTGACAGTGTTTTTTCAAGACAGTCAGGAGTGTAAAATACTGGAACCACTACAGCCAGTAACTTAGTTCATGATTGCCTTTCACAGAATGCCATTTTGTAGCCAGGATTTGTGAGAGGAACCCTGCAGAGGCCTGTGTCCTACCTTGTCCTGCTCAAAAACAATGCTGACAGTGTTTTTTCAAGACAGTCAGGAGTGTAAAATACTGGAACCACTACAGCCAGTAACTTAGTTCATGATTGCCTTTCACAGAATGCCATTTTGTAGCCAGGATTTGTGAGAGGAACCCTGCAGAGCCTGTATCCTACCTTGTCCTGCTCAAAAATGTTCTCAGCTGTCGACCAAAGACTTTAAATTTTTGCTCCTGAATTATCCAAAATTTCTTCATCACTCTCTCTCCTAAAAACAAAATACTGAAGGAAGCCTTGTAACGCTGCTGTTTGTAGCGTGTCATTAAAGCTTTGCTACAGATTTATAGATACTTGTTTGTACCAGGGTTTGGTGGGTTTTGGTTAGACCCTGTGCGCACGCCCAGGGCAGAGAATTCAGTGGAGATTCTCATCTTATGTGGAGATCTGCTGTGATGTCACTAATGATGCTGACAAAATGAGGTCCATAACTTGGTTTTAAATCATTTCTTGACGCATATTGGTAGACGTCATTCCTGAACGAGGGTTTGTTTCCCAGTAGTCTGGGGAAGAAGCTTTGAGTTTGTGAAACATTTTTACTCTTAAACTTATCACTCTAAATCCACTTCAAAAATCTCCAACTAGTTTCCTAAACTCTAAATGCAGATACAGCCCTTAGGCAAGACCTGTCTTATCCTGGAACAGCATTTCCTCTTAAGCTTTATCCAGTTGAACTAATTCATGCAAAACCTCTCACTTATAAACAGAACCCTCATCTTTTCTGTATCAGTGATGGACATTTTAAGGGCTGATAACTGTGTGTTGGTTGGACTGCGTTCTCACTTATAAACAGAACCCTCATCTTTTCCATACCAGTGATGGACATTTTAAGGGCTGATAACAAACTAGACTGTGCAGCAACTGGGATGGAGTTTTGGTCCTTTAGGGTCTTTCAGTTAGAGCAATTCAACTGAGAAATGACTGTTTCTTTCTGTTTAGTTCTCCCAATGACAAGAAACCCTTCTGCTCAATTGAAGGAGAATGGAATGGTGTCATGTATGCAAAATACACAACAGGGGTAACGCAGCTTTCTTCTTTTTTGTTTTTCCTTTTTATCAGAAATGGAAGATTGTGCTTGAAAAGTTTTTTGGGTGTTTTTTGGTGTTTGTTGGTTGGTTGTTTTGTTAACAAAACAAACATGACTAGTTGGGAACTCCTGTGAAACTGCCCAAAAGATCACAAGAATGCTGAATTCAGGATAAAAGTCCTGAATTTACTTTGTTAATTAATTCTTCAGGTCATCTGAATTTTATATCTAAAGAATGATGGGTTTTCATGTATTTCCTGACAATCAGTGTTCAAGAGGGTGAGGGTATAAAATTTTAAGTCTAGATAAAGAACTGATTTATGTTATTTTTTTAATCTCACTCCCTAGGAGAATGCTGTCTTTATAGATACCAAGAAAATGCCTACAATTAAGAAGAAGGTAAGGAAACTGGAGGACCAAGACGACTTTGAGTCTCGCTGGTAAGAATTTCAGTTAAACAGGCAAATTAAGCCTTTTTTTTTCCCCAATTAGACCCAGGTTTGCAGTTCATATTCTGACTAATGGGACACTTAATCCTTTCATTGCATGGATGAACTCTGCTCCTTCTTAGCCTTTGCTGCAGGTACAAGCAGGTTCAGGTTTTAATTGGGAAGAGGAGACCTGTAGTTCTCAGTCACATCCTCATGGGGACCAAACATTCCAGGAGGCTTCCCTACAACCTCCTCACACCCAGCAATAGGCAGTGCAGTTGTGTTTTAATCTATATTATATTATTTATTATTATATATTATTTATATTATTATATTTATTATTATTTAATCTATATTATTATATCTTTTCTGCCCTTTCCATATACAAGATCCACCTTAATTCAAACGAGTATCAATGACCAATAGCCAGTAATATGTTTCTACGACCTTGTAGCACGTTGCTTCTATAAAGCAATCTCCATCCACCTTTCTTTTTTTAAGCTTATGGAAAGATGTAACCTACAACTTAAAAATTAGAGACATCGATGCAGCCACAGCTGCGAAGCACGCGCTGGAGGAAAGACAAAGAGCTGAAGCCAGAGCCAGAAAGGAGAACGAGACCTCATGGGAAACAAGGGTGAGCTTTATTGGAACAGCATAAATGCCCTCTAGCCTGTAGCATTTGTTCTTTCCAACCGAGTCAGGAAAAGCTTCTATCTGATTATTGCCTCCTTTTCCTAGTTATTCCACGAAGATGGAGAATGCTGGGTTTATGATGAGCCTCTATTGAAACGACTTGCTGCCAGTAAACATTAAATGGGTTAGAAAACGTTCAAGCCTTGGCTTAGCAAAGTTTACATCTGATACCAAGATAGTCATCAGTTATCACGTACGTACCATTTGGAGAGCCTGACCCCTCCAACTACAGTGGTTCCTATCTCAGGGATACTGGACTTACTGATGCAGATAAGCAATTAAAAGAAACAAGCAACTCTTGGCTGTGCAGTAACTTATGTGGGACTCTGCCCTACTGGTGGTGTGGTGAGTTTGGGCTTCAAAGGCAGGCTCTTGAGCCCCGTTACTGATGCCTCTAAAGCGTGGAGAACCTGGGCCGGGAAGCATTTCCACTTTGTATAACCACTGTGAAGGCCATGGCATTGGTATCAGTTGCGTAATATTTCTGGGTCCTACATATTTAAAAAAAAAAAACAAACAAAACAAAAACCAAGAAAGGAAAAAATGCAAGACGTCATTTAATCTAGCTAATGTTTGCAAGGTGTAAATATGAGGGTTCCTTTGCTGGGACAATTTGTTAGAAAAACGCTACGTAAATGTTATCTTCCACCTGTATGATAATCAAATCTTTTGGCATTTCAGTGTCTTGCCCAAAATAACTTTGTTATTTTGAGATTAAAATGTAACCATAGATAATTCTACTCAGTGCATCTTAAAGCTTCATAAAATAGATTTTTCAAACTTCTCTTATGGACTTTTTATTTATTTCATAATAAACCTTTGCAGCAAGACTGTTTTTTCAGCTGAGTGATGGATCAGTTGTTTTATGTGAAACATAGTAGTATTATTTTTTTTTTCCCCCCTGGAATTCTTGCAGCTAAACCTACTCCTTAAAGTAGTTCATGAACAAGCAAAAGGAGCAGAATTTGCAGCTTCCACAGGAGAATTTTTCTGGACTCTACATCCAGCCTTGCTCAGCAGCACGTTAGGAATCTTTGCATTTCTGTGCTTTTGCTAGAAATTAAATAATAGTCAAGTAAGTAGCTACATGTAGCAATCAAACTATTTTTCTTTCCACAGTTAAATCTAGCTTTTTATTTGATTTCATCTCAATTTTGTCTATGATGTTGCACATACAGAAAAACTAAAGAAAAGCAGTGTGAGATTGAAGCCTTAGGCTTTTTTTCCCCTCCCACCCACTCAGTAACTCCAGGAGACCTGTGGAATTACTCTCTGTGGGAGGTGGCACCGCTGCAGCCCTGCTGGAAGGATGCACAGGACAGGCCCCACAGGAGCAGCCCCCACCTTCAGACAGCTGGAGAGGAGAACGTAGCAAAGCTCCCTTTGCTCCAGCTTCAAGTCCGAGCTGTGCCTATTCTTAATGAAGTTGGGAGATTAATGAGAGAGGTTGGTTGGAAACTTACTTGAGGAAAGCTTCCAAGGAATCTGACCGGACATCTTCATCCCAGCTAACACTACAGCCCAGTTGGAATAAAAACAGGTTTGTAACGTTTATGTTGCAGAAAGCACCTGTGTTACACGTCACTGCAGGGCACGGTGTCATTTTATTTTAATATTTTATGGTAAGGGAGAACATTCAGAGTTGATGTGTAAGCTTTGATGTCCTTGATGGAAGTAACACCTGTCATCAAAGAAGACGGGGGCAAGAAAACAAGCTGAGGTATTTCACCAGATGAAGAATTCTGTGCTTCTGAGGCAGCTGAAACCTCCGCGTCCCCTTCGTGTTTTCCATATCCAACCACCTGAAAAAAAAAAAATTACAAAAAAAGAAATTTGTCACTAAGCTTCTATAATTTGAACCTCATTCAATGTTCATTTGTTCTGACAATTAAATACAGATACCTAAAAGCAATTCAAATGACTAATAATTAGAAATGTAGAAAAATATGAGCAGTAATATGGATAACCACCAAATGAGAAGTTGGATTACAGAGCTCTTCTCTCCCACCATTACTGGGCTCTCTCAGATTATCAAAGTTTGGCATTTCAGAAGTTGGCAGAGTGGAGCTGGCAAACACTCACGTGGACACTGAGCATCTTCTTCTTGTTGCTTCTGTGAGCCTGGAACCAGGTGACCAGGTCTGATTTTGTAACAGACTTCAGAGCTTCGATCTGCAACCCACAGGAACGAGGTGTAAGTAGCACATAAATATGGTTTCTCTACAAACTAATTCCCATTAGATAAAAGAACCTTTTTAAAATAGCATGTAGTTTTAGAAACGGTGTGTCACTAGTAGTGTAAATCCCCTTATTTATGCTTTGCATTTAAAACTGCTGCAAAAAGTAAGGTTTTAGTGTTCCTTTTGACATCACTTAATAACATGGAGGGGCCACCCACCTCCCGGGCCAGTCTGTCAAAGAGATACTGCTGCGTCACCACTTCATTCCAGTTCCTGTCCACTTCCTCTCCGAGGTGGGAGTCTTCGCATTCTTTAAGTTTTATCAAAGCTGTAACCTGCATTTGAAAAAGACAAAACAATTAGTTTCAAAAGGTTTGAACTCCCTTGATTTGCCGTCTTATTCACTGGAGTTGAAAGAAAACACAAATTACATGAACAAGGGAGTTCAAACCTTTCAAACTTAACTGTAAATGGCCAGAGAGCAAATGTTGAGAGAGGAACTGCAGAAGGGAGTAAGAGGAAGGGTTTAAAAGCAAGTCCTTTGTCCAGAAAACCTCAGAAATATGCCAAATGGGTGTAATCACATCCTCCAGCTCAGGCATAACTTAGCAGTTCACGGAAGAGCTTTTCAAGAATCTGAGACATATGCTTACCTGGGTGCTAAAAGCATCTTCAGTTAATTGCTTGATTGTCTCCTCAAAGCAAGAGAGAAACTCCTCTATTTTCTTGTCAACCAATTCAGAACTAAAAAAGAGAGTTAAATAATTAAATCAGGCAGGAAAAAATTAAAAAAATAATAGTGTGGGGTAAAGTAGCAGAATGGCCCTTAAATGACAAGGGAGTGTTTGGGAGAGGCTTGTTTCCCTCCTCCCCTTGAAATGCTCACACTTCTGTGAACACCATCTTTTCTGTCTTCCCTGGGGTCAGTGAATAAACCCAGTGCTCTTGATTTATATTTATAGCTCTTATTGAGTCTTGTTCAGACATGGGGACCTTAGGTAAGAGGTGTCACTGCTGTGACACTCTTTGGGACCCGCCCTCTGCTGTATCATCAGCCCTGCACATAAACAGTTATCTTACATACAGATAAAAAAATAATAATAATGTGACTTGATGGATTGTGAGGCTTCTGAAACATGAAAACCTTCACAGCTGACACAGCCCTCAGTAATGGAAATGTCATCCAAATATAAAAATTAAAGGCAGCCCTACTCTGTGCTAATTAAACTTTTACTGACACAGTATTATTTTACATAAGTTGCATATTTTTCATATACCCCTTCAACTTTGGCAGGTCAAATACCTATAGTTAACCCCAGCTTTGAACAAAACCATAATAGTGTTCTGGTGGCTGAAACCAAGTCAGAGCAGCAGCTGCACAGGAGGCCCCGGGGGACAGACTGAGCTCTCCTGGCAGAGCATCTTCAAAAGGGCAGGGGGATATTTGCCTCACTCTCTGGAAAGGGCAGGGGGATATTCGCCTCTCTCTGGATTACTTTTCCCTACTCAGGTCAGAAGTGCTGTAGTTTAAGAAGCTTAAGGCTATTGTTTTCTTTAGGTGTCTTTTTTTAGTCCCTGTGTTGCAGCTGTCAGCAGTGCCACAAGCTGAGGCCGGGGGCACTCGCTTTTGACATTCTCTTTGGGTTTAACCCCCCTCATAGGGCAAAAAACCCCAACCCTCTGGGGCCTGAAACAGGTGTGAGCTCTTAAATGGGAGCAGGTGCAAAGTGAAGTCAGCTGTGACCTCATCTAACGGAACAAATACAAGAGTGAAACCTCTCAGTGATAATTGTTTGGTTGTGTAAAGACACCACTTCCACAAAATACCACACGTGAACATGGTCATGTCAAACATGAACGGAACAAATACAAGAGTGAAACCTCTCAGTGATAATTGTTTGGTTGTGTAAAGACACCACTTCCACAAAACACCACACGTGAACATGGTCACAGTTTGACACCTCAGCATCTCCCGTGGGGCTCAGATGTTCAGTGTGACCACGGTGCAATAAGGTCCCCAGAAACGGGTGCTGTTGGCTCAGGGACAGCTCCCCCCCCCCAAGGCTGGGAGCGGTGACAGAGTCACCAGGGGCACACACTTACTTGTATTTAGTCGCCTGGGTGGCTACTGTGACGGAGAATCCGAGAATCCCAGAAGTATTCCTGCAGGTAGGGTACACGTGGTAGCTTAAAAAGAAAAGGGGAGGGGTGTTACAATGAAGTCATTATACAAGCATAATTAATATTTTATTTACAGGACATGCTATAAGTTAAAATCGTGAAATAGTGTTTGTATTTTAGAATGAAAAAATCTCAGCTATAAATTCTCAATAATCTTTATTGAGAATAATTCCTTTATTTCCTGCATCACTGCACGTTAGTAATTTTCTCATTTTGAGGAAATCCTTTTAAGCTGTGTTTGTGTTCCTGCAAAGTAATTCCTCAGTGCCAGCCCCAGAGCTGTGAAAAGCTCGTTGCAGTTTCCCGAGGCAGAAGGGTGCCTCTGACTGTGAAAACAGCCCTGGGAACAGGGAGCTGATTTGGGAAGGAGAAGGAACAACCTGATGCTGAATAATTCCCAATTAACACACAGTAATAGATGCAATTCTTACAGGACTCAAAAGGAACTTGGCTGCAGCCTGTATGAATGGCTGCTCTTGGGTTTGATGTGTTTATGTGACTGTATCCACTAAAACAACAGGAATTGGCCACTGGGCTGGGTTCCCTGAGTGAAAATAGCAAGGAATGGCAAAGGCAGGTGCATAGGAGTTACCCCCCACTGAACTCACCCAAGGGTCTGCTTGGTCCTCAGGAAGTCAAAGCAAGGCTCTTCCATGTGCATCTGAAACAGAACAAATGTGTTACAGCGGAATTGATGCTCCTCTGCAGCCACCCTCCGGCTCCACAGGAACGAGAGCACAACACCTGAACACCACACCTGAACACCACACCTGAACACCACACCACACCTGAACACAACCCATGCGCCAACTTTCCCACTGCACCCACCCAATTCACAGAGCACTCAGTCTTCTGGGGCTGAGAACATCTTCCACATGGTCCAGCATAGGGGCTAGCACAGCCCCATAGCAGCAGCTGGGGATCCTGTCCCAGACACTCACCAGTTTAACCAGAGTGAGCAACAGACACCTGCTGTCCCCTTTGTCCCATTTAGCCCCATGGCCCTATCTGAGTTAGGAGACACAAACACCAACTTACCACAAGCAGCTCCATAAGGGTATATTCCCTCAGGTTCCTGGCACCTGACTAGAAAGAAAATGAAGAATTTAGGGTGATTTCATGGAGTTAAATGCTGTAGTTCAGACCAAGGTGACAGTTGTGGGACAGACTTCAGCCTGGACCATGGCACTAAATTACAGTTCACAGCAGGGACAGGTGAAAAGTTCTTGCTTTCTGTGGGAGCCTCAATATGGCCTCCAAAAGAGAGTGGAGGGGCTCAGCCCAGGACCAGGAGATTGGTGGTGAGGACACCAGGAAATCACCAAAGCACAATCCCAGCTGCTGGCACAGGCTGGGAGGGGAAGATGCCGGTTCAGGGTAGCCCCAAACCCTGCCAGAGCCCACCTGGGTTCAGCCTCTCGGGCCTGGGGGGCCATCCTCTGCAACATCCCTGTCCCATCCAAGCTGTGACTTATGTACAACATGAGCAGCTACCAGAGGGGACAGGCCAGCAGACACCAAGCTGCCACCTTACCTGGTAGTAGACTGTCACTTCGGAGTTGGCGTCGCCTCTGTTGAGAGTTTTCACCTTACAGAGCAGATGTGTGTTTGGCAAATCCACCACCCGGAACTGAACGGGGCAGGGATGGACCAGGGGGGAGAACTGGAGCTTTCTGAAGGGAGAACAAACAGCAAAGAGTCACCCACCCACTCACACCTTACCCAGAACCAATACAACACCCAGGCATTTACACGCTCCCTCTGACATTATTTTCCCCTTCCCCAAATCCAAACAATGTCCCTGAGCTGCCACGACGAGCGGTCACCTCCCACCTCACCACCTCCACATGGGAGGGGAGAAGGGACTTTCTGCATCGCCCCCACCCTGGTCCCTTCCTCCAGAAAAGAATCTTAACTCCATGATAGTTTCCACAGAATGAGTGATGCGAGAGCCAAGAGATACTCACTGAACAACGTAATTCAGAAAATCCTTTGCTTCCTAGGAGAGAAAGCAGAAACACAAGTTTTGTTTAGAGGAGAATTATTACCCCAATTCACAGCCACACACCGCAGTGCGTCACCTGAGAAAGTGACCCCCCGAGCTCTGTCGTGCCACCTGTGTCCCTGCCCCTGTCCTTATCCCAAGTCCCTCCTCTGCACCAAGCTGCAAGGCAAAGGGAGTCTCCTGGTGGCTTCTGGCACTGTAACTTCTCCAGCAGGAGAATGCAGAAGCCAGAGAAACAGCGTCACCATCCCAACAGCACAGGGTGCCCACAGGAGGGGATAAGGCCCCTCCTTGTGCATGAAGTTGGAATTCCAAGAAGATTCTTGGGAAGTGGAAGAAATGGAAGTAAGAGAAATGGTAAAACTGCTGTAGGAGTTGCAGGGCTGCCCCTGCCACGCTGTGAAAGCTCAGCTCACAGAGGCTGCAGCAATAAAAGCATTTTGAATGAAGGTTCTCAGCAAACCACAATCACATTCTCAGACCTCCTGTTCCACAGCTCAGGAGGGGACAGCTGAGATGACACGAATCTGACCTCCCAATGGACAGCAGCAGGTTTTCTTTAGGGGGCTTGAGGACAAACACCACTAGCTAAGACAAACTTCTCGGCACCAATCCTAATTGCAGAAGGTTTCTCTCCCGTGCCACACACAGGCACTCACCGACGCTGGATACACGGAGCTGAGCCCCACCACAACCCTATTTTAAAAAGCCTGACAAGGACTATGTGTGACCCGGTCCCAGGGTAGAAGACTTGGATGAACACTGCAGTGTTTAACAAGTCTGAAGATGACTGGACCTCACTGAGGTTTGATCAAACCATGCAGGCAATCAAATCCCCAGGATAAATGTACTTTGAGGGGAGGTTCCAGCTGTGGTGGAATTTCTCAATATCAAATATATCAACACACCAAAGACTATAAAAACAGTGACAAGAGGGAAGAGAGGTTACAGGCCTCTTTTCTACCACATTTTCCCCTCTCTGCAGTTTAAATCCAAATTCCTGAAGAAAAACCCCTCTGAATTAGCAATGACAGGCTCCCCAGGGGCTTATGCAGATGAGCATTCCCAAGTCACTAGAGGTGAAGGTGCCCTGGACCAGCGATTCTCAGGTGGCCAGTACAGAAGAGGCACTCAGGGAGCAGGTGAGTGCTGACGTTGTGGCAACTGCGTTAAAGCACATTTTAAGGAGGAGTTTCAGTGCGTGTGAGACACTGAAGCTCTACTTACTCTGCTCGTGAAGTTTCCTTGTACGAGACCCTCGACGAAGAGCTGTGATTTGAAAGCCTTAACAAAGGAGGAGAGGGACTCGATGGAAAGGCCGTTCATCAGCGTCTGGTATTTGTCTATCATGGACCACCTGCCGTGCTCGAGAATCAGGAGGCGCACGTCCCTGCAACGCACGGAGGAAAACACCACCACGGGCTGTCAAGAGCTGTTCAACATAAGAGATCCCACTTCTGACTCAGGATTGTACTGGGGAGGGGAAGACGGTCCCCAGGAGCAGGGCTGTGGGCTGATCCTGCCCTCCCCTCAGCACCTGCCGTTGGCTACAGGTCACTTCAGAACAGCAGCTGTGTCCAATCTGCCCCACGTTTGATATGTTGGTGGCAGAGCTGCTTGAACTCTCTGAACCACAAGCTAAACCCCAGAACAAGCCTCCATAAGCCCAGGAGCAGCGATTCCTGAGCTCTTCAGCTCAACCTCAGCACTTACTGCAGCACCTTCTGCCCTCCCCCAGAACTCACTTGGCCAGAGTCTCAGGTTTGATGAGGAAGTTGAAGTATGTTTTCTTCAGCTGCTCTGTTATCATTTCAAAAACTGCTGGAGTAAAGCTGAAGTCAGACAAGTAATCAATGATGAGCTGAAATAGAAGCTGTAAAGAAAACAGTTTTCAGTTGGTTTTTTTTGTGTTTTTTAAGAACCAATTTAAACTTAATCCTATATAATGATAATAATTTTAAAATCATCATTATTTGCTCAACATGAGAGATATGCAGGGTTACTAAAGCACATTCCTCAATTCTGTTAGATGTTCTTCACTAAACACTTCTATTTACAGTCAGTTTCAAAAGGATTGCATTTTTAGAAAGTGAATAAAACAAACTCAATATTCCAAATCAACAGGAGTTTCTGAATTCTATGGGAAGAAAGCCAGCCTGTAACTCCAATATCGATGTATCAAATAGTCCGGTTTTTCCCTTTGCAGTTGACTGGCACATTGACATCGCAACAGAACAACAGTCATGATTTAAAAAGAATATTCAGACCATGCTATTTACAGAATCACAGAATCATTACGGTTGGAAAGGACCTCTGAGATCACTGAGTCCAACCTTACACACACAAAACACCCCTACAATCTCGGCCACTAGAGCATGCAGTTGAGTTTAGAATCATAGAATGGTTAGAGTTGGAAGGGACCTTAAAGATCATGAAGTTCCAACCCCCCTGCCATGGGCAGGGACACCTCCCACTACAGCAGGTTGCTCAAAGCCCAATCCAGTCTGGTCTTGAACATCTCCAGGGATGGGACATCCACAGCTTCTCTGGGCAACCTGTTCCAGTGTCCCACCACCCTCAGGATAAAGCATTTCTTCCTAATATCTAATCTAGATCTCCCCTCTTTCAGTTAGAAACCGTTATCCCTTGTCCTATCACTCCACTCCCTGATAAAGAGTCCCTCCCCATCTCTCCTGTAGGCCCCCTGTAGGTACTGGAAGGCATCTATAAGGTCTTCCTTGAGCCTTCTTTTCTCCAGGCTGAACAACCCCACCTCCCTGAGCCTGTCCCTGCAGGAGAGGTGCTCTAGCCCTCTGGTCATTGTTTGTACCTCTGTCTTTTCCTGTTAAAGCTCACATTAAGAAGTCTTATCAGAGCTCCAGCCCAGCTTTCCCAACACAAGTCTGAGGAAACTACTTGGCAGTTCTCTCCCCTTTGACCACTACATCCTCTCTGTGCTTGCCAAGTCTTACACGGCTGGTGTTTAGAGAATGGGAACAGGGATCCCCCCATCCCCATAAGGTAAGCTCTTAGCAACCCAACAAAGGAAAACTGCACCCAAAATGAGTCTGTATCTCCACAGCTGTATCTCCTAAGTCAAATTGTAAACAGCACCTATTTTCAGACATACTTCCCCAGACAGCGTGCAAATAGCTTTAGCTTAGAGCTGGAGAGGCTCTAATGCTCTAAAGGGACATGGGAGACTCATGGCTCTTTTTAAAGGAAAAGCTGTTAAAGCCTCAATGGAGACACAGTCATTAATTAAAGGAAGATTTCTCTTAAGTCAGCCTAAGGTCAGTCATTTGAGCTTATTTAAGTGAATAAAGCTACATCTTTATACATGTAAGCACAGGGAAAAGCATTTGCTGCATTTGCTGTGTCTGAAGAGACACAAATTTTCCAATTTAAATTACTCCATCTAAACATTCAAAGCTCCAGCCAGCGAGGCTCCAGCTGCTGGGACAAAAAGCACAGACCCTGAAAAGCAGCGTGCATGGAAGTACCTAGAAGATGAGCAGTACTCACAGGTAGTTTATGATTGAATCCTTTCACTCGGATGACTAACCCATGCTCTCCTGCCACCAGCTTGTATTCCAGCTGAGCGACGTCCGCTTCGTAAGCTGGTTCACCAAGGTTGTGGGACAGGATGCTTACAAACGTGTCAAACAAAACGATGCTGGATGGAGAAAAGGGCAGAGGGTTAAAAAGGAAGGGATAGAAGAAAGATAAAAATCAAGCCAAATGAGTTTGATGGTACACACAAGAAGTTCTCCAACAGAAATTGATACTTGAGTAAAATCAGATTGAAAAAGAAATTTTCAACAAACCTGGAAATACAGAAAGCAAGTTTCCCTTTGTCTTGAAAGCAAATGACACTACTTAATTATTTTAACATTCAGCTGTTCTTTGCAATGAATAAGGTTCCAGCTTCACATAATTTAAGATTTCTTCAAGTTAGGAATGCACATTGTAACACGTCAGTGCTCAAAACACTGAATAATCACAGAAAATGGAAGTATTATATTTTGTGTACAGGAAGGGGGGATGAATGGACTCGGTTACGCTGAAGACTTGAGTAATGAGATTATTATTTATCTATCAAGATAAAACAATAATAACAAGCTACAGCAAATCAGGCTGCACAATATGATTTCAGTCTGTGCTTTCAGCTATTTGTTATGGCCTGGATCACCACTCAAAGTTCCAACTCACAAAGCCCTGATGAAAACAGATTTATAGAGGCTTTCCCAAAACATCACTTGTGCAGGTCTCAACAGGATTAATAGAAAAGCACTACGAAATTTGTTACAAACAGCAATGCCAGCCTAAGACTAGCAGAAGTGCAGGACGTGCAGAGCTACAATTTTCAGCTCTGTCCAACCAGCAGCTGGTTTCTAAATGCTGCTGAGAGTCTCTTCACCTCCTCCTACAGGCTCCCAAGTTGCCAGTTCATGGCATGACCGTGGACTGCTCTTTTCAGGACCGACTCCTTCCCCAAGCACTTCCTTCTGGTACCTGCACTGCTGCTGTTACATTATTTTTTCCAAAACTTGCACTGGGGACTAACAGGCCATGAAATTCCTACCCATCTCTCTGCTGTAGAACCACTCTCGCCAGATTACAGATAAAACCACAAGGGATGTGTAAGAACTGGAGAAAATGAAGCCTTATTCTATTCCAGTTTAAAATTAATCTCCCTCCACCGCTTTTCAGTAGGTATGGGAATTTAGTTACTCCACAAGATAAGTACAAATAACATAATCCTTACTTCTCTGCAGACTGCTGTATCAATGGAGAGATCAGATGGAAACGAACATAACCTGGTGGTGGGGAAAGAGAAACTTAAATGAGCAATTCTATAAAAAGTGACAGCTTTCCAAAGTCAAACCCATTTTCATCAGGTTATTTGAGTCTAACGAAAATGGTCATTCAGCTATAAGAATATATTTTTGCTTATATTAAGTCATCATCAAATGTCTTCTCTTTTCACTCCAAAACACTTCCCTTAAAAAAATACAAACTAATAGAAAATACCAGTTTGTGCTTTGCAGAACACTAACTGACACGATGTGACCAACATAAATAAAAAAGAAAACTCCATAAAACATCTGTTTAACAGACACTAAAAATTGTGACATTCTGCTTGAAAGCAGCAATATATTTTCCACATTTGTCTCAGATCCAGGCTATATTTTTCTCTTTCTGTAGAGCAGATGACAATCTCTCCTAATTCATGTGTTCCTTAATTTTCAAGCCCTTGTCTCAGTGTCACATTCTGTCCGCCAAATTTGGCCCACAGTCAGACACATTCAGAAGTCAGTGTATTTCAGCAATTCTACTTTTTAACCTGAGGTATCAGCAGGATTTCTTTGTTGCAGGCTAATTTACCTGCTTCTCATTTATTATATCTAATAAACACATCAAAAGGACCATGGAAGAGCTGACAGTAAACACGGAGTTTAAATGGTGAATGCTATCATGGGTTATTTGCCTTCAAATAAATTCCAGCTGGTAAAAACAGGGACTTCCTATTCTTCAGAAAGCCCTAAAGTGTTTTACCTTTTGGGATTTTGAATTTATCATCTTTCCTGTACCAGAGACAGCCTTGTTGTGTGCTTTGTATTTTGACTGGATATTCTGTCTCAGGGCTGTCGGCAACTTTCAAAGCAAAGTCGGTGGCTAAACAAAAAGAAAAACCAAACCCAGAAGTTAGTGGGTTTCACAGACACAGACAGGCTACATGCATGAAAGTCTTCAATATTATCACCATAATACATTTTCCCCCTCCCAGTTTGCTAAATTATATGTGATAATGCTTTCCAGGACCCAAAGACCACTTAGTTTTCAGTTCCACACCAGAACAGTGGCTCAGAAGCAGTGCAGAAATAGAGATGTTGCATTCCACTCAGGAGACAAGCTGTGGGTTTATTTTTATTTGGTTCTGGCAACAAAGCCAGATGGTATTTACAATCTTTCAAAACCAGCAAGATTAAGCAAATAAAATTGCTCTTCTAGGGTGTCCGGAGCTCAGTGTTAACTCTCATTGATTGTGTGAGGCCTGCTCTGCTATGGATATATTGATCTATAAGTTTACATCTTACAAAAATTCAGTTCTTATAAATAAAAGATTAAATAAAATCCAGGTGAATAGAACTCCCATACTTTTTAATTTTCTAAACCAGGTGGATGTGTAGACAGAAATTAAGATTGTTTCTAAACCACAGAAAATTCTCAAATAAATTACTTCTCTCACGCTCAGGTGCCTTACCTATGTATTTGTTTTCTTCTGGAAGGTGTAAATCCTGATTTAACTCAAAGTCACTGGCCCATAAATCACTCCAGTACTTGTCAATATCTATTAAAAAAAAACAAGAAATGCATTTAGTTCAACAGGAAGGTAATGCTATCTTGTTTCCTAGACCAGTCACCTCATCTCTTAGCTATCCCCATGGAGATTTGCAGTGTGATAGGAGTTTCTTAACGTCACCTGGTTCGTCGTGACTCCTTCTAAATCCCTTCCTGCAAACTCCCCTGGTGCAGGACTGAAGCAGTCATATTAAAAAGTAAATTAAGCCTCTCTGCACTAGAAATCCAGCCACCAACATGCCCTGTCCTCCGTTGTTTGTTTTCTTTTCCCTGTTCAGGACTTGAATGGCAGCCAAGGGGATTCCCACCTCCTCAAACAATTGTAAACCTGGGAGTAGGGAATTAACTGATACCAAACAAAGAAGAACAATTATTGAGTAGGACAGAGTATCTGACTAATGATGAGGTCAGCTGAGCACTGAGGATTCACCTCTCTGCTTCCCCGTGGTTGTATTTTGTGTTGTCACCCTTTTATTGTCTCGACTTTGTGAATCAGACATTCTCTAAGTTTCTGCCCTTGTTTTACCTTCCACGCTGTACTGTGTTCCAAACCACCTCTCTTTTAGATGACACTGGCCTTCGTTGGCAGCAGACAGCAACACCAGGTTGGCTTTCTGAGGGCTGAGCTGGTTCAGGGCATCAGCAATGATCTGTAAGTTGAAGACAATAAATAAATGTTCAAATGCAACTGGCTCTGCCTGAGCCAGCAAAGGCTTCTCAGTCTGAACGCAGCAGGAACAAGACATAACAACCTTACAAAAAAAGATTTGCTTGCTGAATATAAAAATAGTGTTTCAATTAATACAAAACCTCGGTCTGTTTTATGCCTAATTACAAATACCTATATATGTTGTCTATATTATACCCTATGCCTGTATTTTCCTTACATCAAAATGTGTAATAAGAGTTTAAAGAGCATTTACCTCAGGCTTGTATTCAAACAAGAGCTGGTCTCCTGTCAGAAAATCCTCTTTCTGAAACAACTGCATGTTCTCACAAAGGCTTTCCACATAGTCGACTGGATCTGTCTGTAAGCAAATAAAGCAAGCTATTTTTCACATAATCAGAAAACTAAAAAATCAATTTTCTGTTCTGAGAAGAGCTTGACCGGTCAGGTATGTTAAGCATTAGTTACATGCTGTGCTTGTCATGGCATTTAGTTTCAGTTATTAAACTAAATATATTTCATAACCATATCTAATGCTCAGGACTCCTCTGAGAATCCTGAAATATCAGACACATCATCCTTGTAGAAGAAACCTTGAGCAGGCAGTTTACAGTCATTAAACCTGCTAGGTTAAAGACCCAGTAGAACACACTCCTTGCCTCCAGGGAACACCAAGCAGAGTCCTGCAATTCAACATTTAAAGTCATCTGGAACCTGGAAAGAACAAGCCAAGGAATTGCTGCTGCTGCATGAGTATCTCTGATTCTGCTGCTTTCCTACGTCCTCTGCCATGATGTACAGCGTGAGGAGGAAAGGATTCTCCTATTGCCTTTTAATGGTGTAAGACTACATAGTGGAGAGCTTCTTGCTGAGTGCTTTTGGGTTTTTTTGAACCAGCCAGCATCGTACTGTAAAGATTCTGGGTCCAAACACAGACCACAGTTCACCTGAAAATACAGCTGGAACACAGGAAGCTGGAACACAGGAAGTTCCATCTAAACATGAGGAGGAACTTCTTCACTTTGAGGGTGGCAGAGCCCTGGAAGAGGCTGCAGGAAGCTGCAACACCGGAAGTTCCATCTGAACATGTGGAAAAGCTTCTTTACTTTGAGGGTTGCAGAGCCCTGGAATAGGCTGCCCAGAGTGGGTGTGGAGTCTCCTTCTCTGGAGACATTCAAAACCCACCTGGATGTGTTCCTGTCCAGCCTGTTCTGGGTGAACCCGCTTTGGCAGGGGGGTTGGACTACATGGTCTCCAGAGATCCCTTCCAACCCCTAGAATTCTGTGATTCTATGGAAAGAGGTGAGTTTGACACATCTGTGTCTTATAAATGGGGTGGAAAACGTGACCAATAATTTTTTTAAGACACTGTACACCTGAGGAAACGTTAAACCTCTCGTGGGGCACAAAACTGCTTATCCCAAAACCAAGCCTCTGTGACCACTGTTTTTTAGAACAGCCATGTACCAGCTCCTTCCATCAACCAGAAGGGTGGGTGCAGTGACCAAGTCATTCATCTGTCCCTGAGATGCACAACCCTGTCACAAAAGAACACACTTATGTCTGTTCCTTGCTTTCTGAGTTCAGTACTACATAGTGGAGAGCTTCTTGCTGAGTGCTTTTGGGTTTTTTTGAACCAGCCAGCATCGTACTGTAAAGATTCTGGGTCCAAACACAGACCACAGTTCACCTGAAAATACAGCTGGAACACAGGAAGCTGGAACACAGGAAGTTCCATCTAAACATGAGGAGGAACTTCTTCACTTTGAGGGTGGCAGAGCCCTGGAAGAGGCTGCCCAGAGTGGGTGTGGAGTCTCCTTCTCTGGAGACATTCAAAACCCACCTGGACGTGTTCCTGTCCAGCCTGCTCTGGGTGAACCTGCTTTGGCAGGGGGGTTGGACTACATGATCTCCAGAGGTCCCTTCCAACCCCTAGAATTCTGTGATTATATGGAAAGAGGTGAGTTTGACATATCTGTGTCTTATAAATGTGGTAGAAAACATGACCAATAATTTTTTTAAGACACTGTACACCTGAGGAAACGTTAAACCTCTCGTGGGGCACAAAACTGCTTATCCCAAAACCAAGCCTCTGTGACCACTGTTTTTTAGAACAGCCATGTACCAGCTCCTTCCATCAACCAGAAGGGTGGGTGCAGTGACCAAGTCATTCATCTGTCCCTGAGATGCACAACCCTGTCACAAAAGAACACACTTATGTCTGTTCCTTGCTTTCTGAGTTCAGTCCCTGCACTGCCAGTAACCTCTTAATGACCACTCCAAATCAATTGGCCACAAAGGCAGGATTCTTAATGGTAGGTATCTCCCCAGTGTGAACTCGGGTGTTTTCTATCCCCACCTGGTTTGATACCAGGAGGTATATAGTCTATTAGAGCAGTAACAGTTTGGGGGAACATAAAATTCTAGCTGGGAGTACTAAAAAGAACCAAGAAAACTAATAAAAACCTTTCAGGACTAAATAGCTTCACTTTGATGAAAAAGCCAAACTTCAAACTGGACGACTTCTGTTGGCAATGATTAAAGACAGAATTATAAAACTGTATGCAGGGCCACAGGAATTCGTTCCTGTTCTGTCCAAGACACTAAATGGCCATCCTTCCCAGATTTTTAGTTCTTCTCTACTGTTCTGGGAAAAGCTTTATTAGGGGAAGACAGGCCATTGTAATTTTGTAATATAATTTTGTAAAAATCTGTAACAAATTCATAAAAGTTGGATTCCACTAAAAAAACCCACCACATGGCATTTAAAAAAAATGCACTCATAAATCAGTGTAACCTTGTTCCTACCAAAGAAATCCACTGCTCTGTTTTCTGTTATGTGGGGTTGTTGGCAGCAGTCCTTGCTGCCTGTATCTCTTGCAAATACCGCTTCTGCTACTCAAAGGCCACTCAAGACACTCAATATCTTCCATAACCTATTTTGAAGGCAGAGCTACAGACGTAAAGATTTGCTAAAAATGGCATTTCTAACATACTGATGCTCAGAGCAGACTAGCGGGTCTGAAAATACTTGGAGCATCTGGAAAGAAAAAAAACTCCACTTTCAATATTTCTTTTTTTAACTTTTTTTTTTTCTCCTTCTCCTTTTCTCCTTCCTGCATCTGTGTACCTTAAAAAAACCCAACAAACTTCAGTGGTGCTTTCAAGCAGAACACGTAATATATGGATCTGTTTTCCCAAAAGGAAATTTTAGCACCATTCCTAAAAAACAAGTTACCTAATAAGACACAGAAGGCGGCTAAATATGGTAAGAAAGTCAATGAAGTGAGGCTTCTCTAATTATCTAAATTGTGTTCCCCTGTTTTTCTTTACCTTTGATAAAAACAAGTGAGATCTTTGCTAATTACTATTTCAGCAAGCCAAGGCAGACTTGACACAAACCCACATTTCACTGCACAATGCTGTAAGAGGGGACAAGGGGGTCATGAACACGCTGGGCTTTGTGAGGCTGGGTCACCAGCAGGCCACCCCTGTCACACAAGGCTGCTTTGCTGTTCCCAGAAATCAGCAGCGCCAAAACAGCTTAAAAAAACAGTGAAATTAGGCAAAAATACGGAAAAGATCCAACAATTTGCAGAGCGCTATTAATGGGCACAGATCTTCACACACAGCCTACCTAGAGGTAGAGAATGAAAAAAGTAACATTTAATCCTGTTGAGGAAAAAGTCGCAATATTTCTCTGACTAAAATACAAATTCCTTCAGCAGAACACAGCCTCGTAAAGCGTATAATCTATTTCTGGTTGAATAGGACTTTGAAAACTTGTTTCAAAATTAAAAAGAAATCTTTTTTATGGTTTACCTATATCAACACAAAACAGTGGATGAATACCTGTTCCTGGTAGTGAAATTCGTTCGCTTCAATCTTCTGTATTTCTTCCCATATTCTGTAAAGGAGGGAGAAGACAAGAAAAGTGGATTTCCTCCATTATTCCACAACATTTTTAAAGAATCTGAAAAAAAAGAGTCTTCTAGGAGAGGCATCAGGGGTGAGTTCAGTGATTCATTCATTCCGGTACAAGCCATAGAAGCCAGAATTACACACATTTCCATTCCATCCAAAAGGGCATTTCTCAATTGGCAGAAAGTTCTTGTATTTTCTGAAGAGGAAGAGTCTTAGGTACAAAGAGTCAAAATCTGATACCGAATTAACATAAAGGCTAATGCCAGAACACCACAGCCCTGACTTCCACAGATTTAGCTCAACAAGCTTATAAAATCAGAAACCAGATCACAATAAATCAAACTAAAAGCACCAAGAAACAACCACAAACATTTAGCAAATTCATTTTTAAACTTTTTTTAACTGATACACTTCCCACACAGACAAGCTTTACTAGTGACTCACCATTTCTGCTCTAGTAACTCCACAAAAAGTGCAAACAATACAAATAAAAGGTTAATGGAGCAGGACAGTCTCACAAATATCTGATGTAGTGGCAAACACTTACCTTTTATCTGGCCCTCTCTTCTGCAGCATCTTCACATACTGAAATACAACATGGGCCACCTGCAGACAGAAAGGGACAGATTAATTTTTCCAGATATTAGGAAAACAGTAAGAGAAGCAAGTTGCAGTAAACCATACCTCATAGAAGTGCTTGTAACCTTCATCAGTCAAAGTCACAGAAATGCTGAAGATGGAGTAAGTGGAGTTTTGTTCAAATCCTGTCTCACCATTTCCTCCATATAATGCAAGAGCCCAAAATCTATGGAAGAATTAAAGGTACTTATTAATTACTCATTTCAGCTTAGTTGAGCTTAGTTACAATTAGCACATCATAGCTTTACTTCAGCGGCTTTCAATCCGTTTACAGTTTACACAAAGCTTTGTCAAAATAAAGATGTGAACCTCAGGATACAGAATTTAAGAAAAACAGTAACAAAGCTAAGTTACATTTTGGAGATCTCAAAAAGATCAGTCACAGAAACTGCTTTCTTATTTCAATTTTCACTTACATCAATTTAAAGAATATAACTACAAAACGCTGATATAAAAAGGCATACTTGGCCTGCTTTAATATTTATAGAGAAAACATATATACACAAAATAGAGTTTGCCTTTATTTTAATGATATAAAAGCATTTAATAACTATGCTTAAAATATACATACTTTTTCCTAAGGAAAGAAAGAACACTGCCTTTGCCTTCATGTCCCACCAACCAGGAAATATAATGAAGAGGCTTCACCCTAAAAGAAAACGTGAAGGAGATTAAATGGCAGGAGGTAATGTGTTTCACAGAAAGAACTCAAATCACTACACAAATGACTAAAATATACACTGTTTCTTCATGGCAAGTTTTGCATTTTCAGGCAGCATCAGGATAATAAGCTAAAAATGTGGGCGTTCAGAACATAATGACTGATCTGAGTCAGTGAGGAATGACGTTAAATCAGCTGTTTACCGATTCCACTCCATTTATAAAAAGAACCATATCTGCATCAGCTTAATTCATTTAAAAAACGTTCCCCTAGCTGAACCAAAGTAATCTGTAACACAAACAAATTATATTCTTTGGTTTGCTGTGAAAGTTCATATATTATTAACAACAAAAGCACGGTAGAAGTAAAATGCAGCACCACCTTACCTGTAATACTGTGCTTGTGGGGGAAGCGCCCAAGTGATATTCAATGAATGAACTTTCCTGATTGGAACAACTGAACACAAATAAAATTACTGAATATAAATATACGTGATTAGACACGGATAAGAGATTTTACATAATCCAGAAAGAACCATTAAAAGTTATTCAGAACCACACAGAATTATTCCACAAAGTATCTGGATCACACAGAGAAAATACAAAGCCAGGTATTCAAAACATTTAAAAAAATGTATTGAGGGAGGACATTCTTCCCCTCTTTAGCCTGGAGGAGAAAAGGCTGAGGGGAGACCTTATCAATGCTGACAAGTATCTAAAGGGCGGGTTGAGGGAGGATGGAGCCAGACTCTTTTCAGTGGTTCCCAGTGACAGGACCAGGGGCAATGGGCACAAGCTGGAACATGGAAAGTTCCATTCAAATAGGAGGAAGAACTTCTTTAGGGTGAGGGTGACAGAGCCCTGGAACAGGCTGCCCAGGGAGGGTGTGGAGTCCCCTTCTCTGGAGATCTTCAAGACCTGCCTGGATGCAGCCCTGAGTGATGTGCTCTGGGCAACTCTGCTTTGGCTGGGGAGTTGGACTGGATGATCTCTAGAGGTCCCTTCCAATTCTGACAATTCTGTGATTTCACTTACCTCTGTAAAGCTTGTGAAATTCTGGTGTGTCAAAAGGCTGAGTCAGATGGCCAAAGCTGGGTTTGGGTAAACCACTTGAAAGCAAAATGAAAGTATGATGTTAATGGCAAGAATTCAAGGCTACACTGAGACAATCACAAGACATCAGCATCCATAGCTCTGAGGTGATGGAAGTGGTATACATCAGAAAAAGGCATTAACAAAAGGTGCAGCCCAGCATCCACCCAGCCCAAAGTGGAAGGGTGGAAGTCAGCCTGGCATCCACTTGCCCACACAACAGAGGAATTACCCAAGATTTAGACACCCCATCAACTCCTCCCTCTCCTTCTGTCCAAGGTGGTAACAATAAAAAGCTTGCTGTCCTAACTCCAAGCTCAGTAAATAACTTCCTGAGCTGGCCCTGGATTCACACAATCCTGAAGGATCATCTTGTGGGGAAGGAGGAATGAGAAGGACAAGGGTTGGGAGAGACACACGTGTCTCTCTACAGCATCAGACTTTCACAAGCACATTTCCATGCACCACAGACATGAACATCTTGCAAAAGTAGAAAATGAAAGAGGAAATGAAATGTTTTCCAAATTAGTGAAGCTTTTGCAGAACCCCCTTTTCAGACAGCACATTGGAATGGATTATTAAAAAAAAAAGTCAAGTTCTAATCATTTGCCACTCTAAGGATGACACTTACATTCAAGATATAGTCTTAATTTATGCTGCTGCTAATTATTTCTGACATAAAGCAAAGATAAGAAATGGAAAATTATAATCTAAGTTTGAATGATTTATCATAAAATCAAGGTTATCAGAACATATAAGCAAACACTGCTGCAAGTTAGCACTACACAGCTTGCAGGATAAATAATTGTTAAGCATAAACAAAATCTTCGTGAAACAATTTTGCCAGTCTTTAATTCCCAAAGTTGCCCTTTATTTTACTAGATAAGGATGTTAATTAACAATTGTTAACTTCCTTAGCTTCTCCAGTAGGGGATTTTTTAAAAATGGTCCTTTTAAGAACAGATAATTTTATAATTTGTAATGCCTTTATGAATCAAAAGAATCTTACTTATTTGGGATCTGAGAGAAGATTTCTTTCACCCACTTTTCCAATGTATCCAGTGTTTCTAGTAAGGAGAAAAAAAAAAGAAAGCCAGAAATGTAATTTCCTGAAGCTCCAAGGCAAATTCTTTATCTTATCTTACTAGTTCAGTTAACTTAAAGAGGCTGCAAGTTGGTAGATTTTAAAATTGTGAAGTTCTAAATTATAAGCTTCAAAGCCGTTGGTTTGAGCCAATTCTTAATATTCATTGAACTATATCTTTGGTCACAGCTCTGGTTTTGTATAGACTGCTGAAATCTCAGGCTGATACAACCAGGATTTAAAATTCAGCAGTATCTGGTGTGACTGTGAAAAGGAATTACCAACGTATGGATCTAAACCCACCAGTGCTCGCTAGACTCTTTCTGTGCCTCTATGTCCAGAACATACGCAGCAGTTTTCACACCTAAACACAGTCCTACAGTGCTATGAATTCCTCCTCCCCACCCTCCACCCTCTTTCCTAAAGGAAATAGGTCAAGAACCAGAAGTTTGTTTTTATGTTTTTTTGGTTTTTAAATGGCTGATTGGACATTGCTTATTTAAGTGAATGTTTCATATTCCAAAAGTGATGGGATATATGCTAAATAACAACAGTAAAAATGCTGGGGGGGACGGGATGGGATGCACTCACAGTTTCTTTTAAGAGAGATAGAAACACAATGTTGCCCTGGCTGGGTATCAGTCCCCAGGCTTTTCTTCCCAATCACCAAAAGGAACAACATTACAATCAATTGCTACATAAACGATTATTCAAGAGGCATTCAATGCCCTAACAATTTTACAGTCTAGACAGAAAAGCATAGGAGAAGAAAAGAATTACCACCTCTATTATTACCACCTCCATTTTACAGATGGTAATTGCAGTAAGTTTTAGCATTCAACAAAACCCTTAAGCACAAACCTAACTTGAATGCATGCAGAGATTTATTTTCAGTACAAGTCTCTATTACAGGCTTAACTTCTACAAAATTCATTTCTTTTGTTCTCAGCAGAAATGATCATAGGTCTGAAATTGTTTGCTGAAATGGAATTCAATTCCGTTTGCATAGAATTTTTCAGTCTAAGAGGAAAAAACTCAGAATTTCTATTCTTCCTAGAGAAATGTGTTTTATTTTAAGACTTCTTTTGAAAGAGCCCCAAACAGAACAAGACAATTGGGAGCCCCCATCTCCATCTCCCCATGATTTCCTGTGGAGGTTCACTCTTGATGGCAGAGAAACAAGTAGCATTAAGTCATTTAAGTCCTCTGACTCTATATTCCTACAAGATTCATCTTTAAATATATCTTTGAGATTTTACATTCTGTGTTAATCTAATTCAACAGTTTCAGTTGGAAGTTTCTCAAGAAGCAGCAGGATGACACTAACACAGCACAATTGCTCAAGTTTCATTTGGAAACCAGGCTAAAATCTACATATAAATACCCCCTGTAGGACTGGACAATCCACTAAAACTGCCTGAGCTACAGCTGAACTGGTGCCAAAAGCACTACACCACCAACAGCAATGAGTCTCTTTTTAAGGAATGACCGATGTTACCTTTAGATTGGACAACTAAAGTCATATAGTGAGCAGAGTAATGGCGCTGCCAGAATTCCCTCAGCCTGGTGTAGGTATCAATATTATTCATTTTAGGCTCGTGTTTGAGTGTATCTGCATTACCTGTAAATATTAAAAGACGGTTAGTTATCTAGACACTGGTTATGTCAAGACAAGATACACCGAGAATTTCTCTTCCAACCCTGGCACCAAGTCTAGTCATGGTAAGCACATTAAAAATACCTAACAGGAATTTGGAGTTAAAGGAATGTTAACTGGAATTTAATAACTTCTAATTTCTAGTTCCTATTATAAAGACAGCTGATATTTCTACGACAGAGTCCTCCTGTATTATCACATCCCCATACCACGTACTGCACAGCTCACTCTGTGTTGCCAGCTATTCCCTCACCAACAGGACTTGCAGAAGAGGGGAGGGGAAAGAGAGACGAAAATATGATGTTCAGTATATGTCACTACAGAACTTCATAGAAATTATGTACATTTCAAAGCTGGCTAACTCTATTACCCATCACACTGCAATTTACACGCTTACCAGCATCACAAGGGTGAGGGAGCTAGGACTCTATTGTCCAGGAGAGGAGGACAAATTCCCTTTCTGCTCCACTCACATGGCTACTTCTGCAAGTTCAACAGCGAATTATTTACTTTGAAAAGCCTCCCTAGACACAAATACTTTATTTTTCCAGGAAATTCCAATAGCAAAAAACAAGCTTAAGGAAGACAGAGATGACTCAGAGAGCACCACCTTTACATTAGCAGAAAGTTACATGATTACATGCCCGGGGCAACTTAGCTTTAACATCAGCAAAAAGCAGCACAGAATGAAAAGTATCTTAAGAAGCAGACAGCTGCTTTTCCTCCCAAACATTTTACTGTAAAATGAGTAATTACTCTAATACTTCTGGCTAGTGTTTGCTGTGATAAGACAGCACATGTTAGTGCATCTTTTAAGTGGTTAAAAGTTTATTGTCACCAGTTTATAACATAAATTCAGAACTTACCCCAAAAAAATTTCTTCATAGGATGTCCAGGCCTGGCAAGACTACCAAATAGCATCTCCTTTCTGTTTGCATCAGAGGGTCTTGCTAGCTGATACTCTGTTAATTTAAAGAATTTGGAGAGGTATGCATCAAAATTTGAGGTCATGTTCCCTCAAAAAAAACACCACAAAGTAAAACCCCCAACCAAACTGAAAAGGAGACGTGTTGCACAGATGTAGACTGAAATAATTTTGTTTTAAAGTCTGATGAAGTAGTGAAATAGGGTAAGAAACAGGCACTAATGAATGTAAGCCCAGAGAAGAGGAAAACCCTAGCTCATTGCTGAGAAGTACAGAAAGGGCTAAGGAGGGGAAGCAAGTTAAGCCCCAGCCTCTCCCATCTGAATGCTCTCAATCCCATAAATTTACCAGGAACACAAGGCCATCTACGGGTCAGGCCCTGCAGAAAGGGCCAGAGAACAATTACAAACCTGCTTCTCCCATCTATCACACAGAACAACTTCTAGTTTAATAACAAAATAAGAAATCAAAAGCTGAGCAAGATAAGTTTCCAGAAATGCAGTTTTACAATCAGATTACACTAATCTAAATATGGGATTTTGCCAAAATCAAGAATTCACCCTCTCCAACTGCATTTTCCTGCTTTTGCTGCTAATAAGAAACACGCACAGGAGAGCTGTAAAATAATTATTTTGGCTGGGTTAGCCTGCAGCCAGTTCATCAAGCTGACAGAGTTTACAGTGTCAGTAGAAGGGAAGGAGTGGATCTGCATGATGAAGGCAGTGCAAATGAACGTGTAAATTGGCTTAAGCTGTTGAAGAAGCCACACCTTAACTATAAGACAGGTCCTTGTTCATATTGACACTTATTTAAAATCAAAGATCAAATTGCTCAGCTTTCCTTGTCAGAGGACAGATAAAGATGACTTGAAATACATGTTTGAGCCTGTTGGTATATCTGCCGATAATATTTTTTTTCGTAAAACGGTGAAGTTTTATAGGCAGCCTGGAAGTATTCATAACATACTAGAAAATCAGTGAACACTCCACTCACTTCTATGCCAGGTTCAATTTCCTTCTGTGAAGCAAATTTGTAGTTATTAAGCTGTTAGAATTAGGAGACAAGCACGATGACCTCGATTTATTGTATTTACTCCATGGAGGACTGGAGAGAGCACTGGGGCTACACTGGAGCTACAGGCATGTTGTTCACTGTTTATTTGTTTCATAAGATGGGCTAAACACACAGAAAAAGAGACTCTTACCACTGTCCACAGCCTCGACTTCTCGGTCTATTGCATCCCTGATCATTAGCGGGTGAATGAAGAACTGTGCCCACCTATGAAGCAGAAAAATTCATATGCTTTTCTTCAGTGTCTACTGAGCTAGGGCAAAAAAACAGCAGTTAAATCCAACATCCACTATTTTTGTTTAATAACATTGCTTGCCTTACCACCCATGATGTCATTCTTGACTGTACTGTCTTAAGGAGAGATGAGAGCTGGTTTAGTGATAGCATCAAAAGGGCTGGATACAGTAGGGTACGACACTAATGGATGGGCAAATATCTGCCTTTGCATCCTAGGAATGATTGTACCAGATCAGATGAGTGATCCATCCAGCTCCATTTTACGTGATTTATGTCCTGAAATGTATTTTTTTAATATCCATCACAATTTTTACTATCTACTGTGAAAGTCAGTGTTGTCATCAGAACATTCACTATCTTCTCCTGTACCCATAGAGAGCAGAGCAATGGAAAAGGACAAATCTGCAATGAATGGAGACTGCAGAAAGCTGCCAGAGAATCTTATGTTTCTGGCTTATTTGTTGAGTCTTTTTAATGATGCACTGAACTTCCTGAAGCAAAAGGCTGATAGTAATACATTGTTAAGAGTTCTATGGCTACAGGACCCATTAAGCTAAAGACTATTGAAAGGTGATGTTTCTCAATTTCTTTAAATCCACAAGTGCTTGAACGAGCAGAAATCATCATCAGCATCAGTTTATCTTCTTTGTATGAGGTGCTGTTCTACAGAACTCATACTCTCTGTGTTTCCCCTCCACTAAGAGCTGTTGTGAAGAGGTTTTGCGCTTCCAAACATCTAAAAGCTGGACCAATCTGCAAATGAAAGCTGAATTTTGCACAGTAAATACTTGGTAAAATGTGCAAACATCTGCTCTTGGTGTCATTGCAGGAACATATTTTGATCAAAGTAAATTCACAGTGGATCCTACTCTCCTCCTGAGATATCTGACAGCATCAAGAATACTCAGCTGCCATGGCCCTATGAATAACTTGCTCTCACTGAAGGAAACCACACCAACAGGCAGAGCTCTGTTGTACTAAGGTATCCCACAGCACAAAAGAACAAATTAAATACTTTCTGGCAAAAGACACATACTTGCCTGAATAGCCTGGACTGGGCGAAATGTATCCTTCCAAGGCACACTTGTAACATAAATTTTTATGTTACAAGGCTGCCCTTACACACTGATGATTTGGAACCAAAAAAATAAATAAATTTAAAAACCCCACTAACTCTATCAAGACAGGCATTTCAAAGGATGAATTATTGGGACTCTGGGAGCACTTCCCCTCTGAACAGTTGTCACACTGCATAAAATTTCTCCTGTCATCGATGCTACAGGTGGTAGCTACCACCATTAAGGGTGGTAAAATAATCAAAAAGCTACATGCATTAAGACTTACATGTGGATCTTAAGTAATGACACAGAAGCTACACCGGCATTATCACAAAAAACCAGTAAGATATCCAGAGGGAAAACATATTTCCTTATATACAACATCCTCTGTAGTACTATGGAAGTTCAGCAACAGCCTTAATCACCCCCAAACGAAGAAATGAACAGATACACCCAACCTCCTGAGGCACACACAAACATTTTTTTTTTTTTAACATGTTGTAAAAAGTTTGTAACACATTTGTTAACACCTAATCCCCATTTATATGAAGTTACCTATCAAGTGCTTCTTTGAAGTACTTCCTCTGCACATCGAACTGGAAGACCGTCCGCTCACAGTCGGTCGAAGCGTTGTCGCTGCCCCCGTGTTTCTTCAGAAACGCGTCAAACCCATTCTCGTCTGGGTACTTCAAACTGCCCATGAAAACCACTGGAACAAAACCCAGCAAAATTACCAAGATGACATTAATTTGTTATTCCTCATTGCAGCTGTAGTAATCCCTCGTCAGCACAGTGTTACCTGCAAACGACCCACAGTTCCCATGCAGAGGTTAACTACTAACTAGCAAAAGACCATGTTACCTACCCAGTGACTACTGTAATCTGCCTTTAGCAGAGGGCCCAAATAGACTGGAAATAACAGTGCCTTTCTAGGCATGATTGGCCTCAATCGGTCAAGAGCAGAATTTTAAGACACATCTGGCCAGAAACTTCATGTCCTTTCTCCACCTGCATCACTAATTCATCATCCCTTACAAGAGATAAACGCCTGTAGCTCCACCCTGGTTTATAAAGCTATAGGTAAAATGCTTCCCCCCCTACTTAATGGATAACAAAGAATGTTACTATAGGTTAATGCACAGCCTGCCAAAGGGCATGAGACACCTTCTTCCATATTAAGATTTCCCACTAAGTCCGTATTTTTATAAAACCACAAATTTAACTAATGAAAATAAATTCTGGGATAGCTGAAATAGGGAATGACACTAAAGTACTCCAGACATTCAGAGCCAGAGAGCACTCATTTTTTCACTGAAGCCAGAGAAGATGAAACAGGAGCAGATACATACTGTGTTCCAGGAAGTGTGCTAATCCAGGCAGATCTTCAGGATCAGAGAAGCTGCCAACAGCAATGCAGAGGGCTGCTGCAGACTAGAGAAAATACAACAGTCTCAGTAAAAGCTGCTTCAATAAACACTTTGGGAAAGTGACAGAACTGAAAGACAAATCAATCAGGGCAGGGACAATAAAAAGAAGGTCTAGTCTCCATGTCTAACCACAAGGTTTCAGAGCACAGGAAAGGTCTCTGTGTATTTTTTCACCCTACAGCTTAAGTTCATACCTGTTTTTCTGTGCAGCCTCTCTTTCTTGTCTCTTCCTTTTCAGCTAGCTCTTCTAATTCACTGTCATCAGGATCATTGAAATCCTCATTATCTCCATCATCGTCCTCATCCTCATCCTCCTCATCACAGTCCTCATCATCAAAACCTTCTCTACCATCTTCGATCTCAGTTCCAGAGTCGTCATCATCATCACTATCCTCTTCAGATCCATCATCATCGTTGTCCTCCTCCTCCTCCGAAGATAAAGCAGCTGAGGCACAATCCAAGCAATTCAAATCCGAAATCAAAAGTGCACATAAGCCATTTTGCAGTTTGATATACCTGAAAGAATAATTATTTGCAATGAATACACACATTTCCCAATTCTGAATTTTCAGAACCGCAAAAATTTCTGTATTTCCTACATTAGTTCTGTGCTTTTCTACTGAGATTTCCTAATGGTAGCTAAGAAGTCGAGCAATTTTATAGTAGGAAAGTAGAAACACTCTTCTGCTATTTAACAGCTCTAAGAAGATGAAAGATGCCATTCAAGGTGGTGCCATACAGAAGCCCTTCTTCTTCAGGTCATGGACACCGATTTGGGCTTTGGTTTCTCTATGAGATATTTAAGCTACCAGCACCCACTCAGAGAAAACTTCATGTACTCAGAACAGGCAGACCCAAACTTCAATAGCTTGTTATGCTTCTCAGGCTCTCGGAAACATTTGTTACATGACAGAATCAAGACATTAGTCTTTGCCTCTAAATAAGCCCCTGAGACTCCATTTTATCAATGCTTTCTGTTAAATGGGGCCTACAGGCAGAAAGGACAGAGCTCCTCTGCAGGTTTAATAAATCACAGTGGGTTGGTTGGGTTACTATCAAGCAGCAATATACAGAGTTTTCTGTGTGTGTGTGTACATACATAGAATTTTTTTACATACGTGTGTGCATATGTATGTAAAAACCCACAAGTCCTCTGTCCAGCACCATTCTACAACTTTTCAGACCGAGGACTGCAAGCACCAATGCTCTGCACTATGAGATCTCTCAGCAGTATTTATTTCCCATCAGATCTGGAATAGACAGTCACAATTTGTCAGATCAGCCAGAGCATCCCTCCGAGGAGCTTGCAGTGGGTGGTACACCAGCTGCAGAAAGGAAGGAATGTTGGATCCAGAAAATACTCGACCCAACCTAAGAACTAGTGTGATACAGAAATGTCGTATCTGATCCAGCAAAAAAAATGCTAATATAAAACAAAGCCATGGTCACAACCCATACTCCCAGAAAAAAAACAGAGTCACAGAGCATAGAATAGTTTGGGGTTGGAAGGGACTCTTAAAGGTCATCTACTCCAACCCCCAAGTTTATAGCAGCTCAGAACTTTGGAACATGGCCACCATTGTAATTAGGTAGCAGAAATTTCAAAGCAGATTTCCAGCTCAAGCTACATTGTAAGGACCCAAAAGCAAAACAAAAGGCACGTTTTGTGTTTTCTAACTCCATGGTTCCCAAAGTTTCTCACAAGAAATTTCTCATGTTTAACGTATGGTTATCGTTACGCAATTTCATTCTTTCCCAGCAATAAAAGCCTGTGTTACTATCAATATTCCAATTCAAAATATAAAATCAGTGCAAGTTTTGTTTTTCACTAGAGCTGCAGGCCACCTGCTATGGCTCTGCAAGCCACAGATGACCCTGGAAACAAATTACTCCGAGTCCTTCTCTCCTGACTGAATTTCATGGGGATGTATTTGGAGGAAAAGGGGTATTGTGAGACTTAAGCAGCTCTGAGACAAAGGAAAAAAACCCCACACTTCTTGGACTACCAAGTCTATAAAGAAGCTAAAGAACAAATGTTTAATAGTTGTGTTATGTATATGAATTATGACCACTCATCCAGCAGGAATTGACAGCACTCGTCTGCCTGGGCCAGGGTGAAAACCAGTTATGAAACCATTAACACACCCGTTTTGCTTGCTGCGGGACCGCTGAGCAGTACAAGCTTGTTCCAATCAAAAGCACAAGCGCATTTTTGCTTGTTCCAACTACAGCACACATTGTATAACTTGCAGAAATGCTATGACTAACTGCAGGAGGTACAGGTAGTACTAGATACACACTAACGTTAATCATCCACACAGTTCTGAAAGCCTGGAACAGTTAAGTGTGTTTGCACTGTATTCATGTCACATTTTGCAGCTGCAGTGCTTCTGAGCGCACGGCCCGGGTCCTAAAAACAGATATACTGTACACTGGGGCACTTCACCCCAGAGAGCTCAGAGCAAGAGCCCCAGACAGTGACAAGTCAGCATTGCTAGAGCACATCTTCCAGCACAACCATCATCTTCTTCACCTCTGTATACAACCACCTTCCTTCTTCAGGTTTTCGCTGCCCATAAAGAATCGTGGCTTCCCAGTGATCAATAGGTAGCCATGGAAAGCAGAGAACAGAACAGTGCTTCTTCCAGAAGAACGATTTGCCATGAAGCTGTTTAGCCAGGTGTGCCCAGTAGCTCTTGTTGCTCCTTTCCACATACCTCCATTAAACTAATGGAGCAGATGACGCTAATTTTACATTACTCATCTTCAGGCTTGTGGGTGTTACACCCTAGGACAGAAAGCACCCAGCAGCAAAGCAACAACTGAACTAAGCCGCTGTTGAAGGCTCTCAGATTTCACCTCAGGAGAATCTAGAACAGTATAGGAGCAGAGGCACCAACTGACAGAGGTGTTCTTTACTTTTTCCATGTTTCAGTCCAATGGAAAAGGACAAATGTAATCAATACATTAGTATCAATTAGTATGCAGAATACAGTACAAAAAAATGCAACCATCTCCTGTAGAAACATAAACAAGCATAGTCCAACTGCTTTTTTGAAGGACTGTACAGGCATTGATACAAATAAAGTTTAAATATAAAACAGAGTTCCAATTCTTAAAAATACCGTTTAAACATCCTGGATAAGTTTAAACAGAATTGTTCTCACACCAAGTTTTTTCTTATATCAATGATAATTGTTTCACGGCTACATACACACTGAAATAAATATCAAGTGATGGCAAACAGAATAATGTTTTAATTTCCCCAAATTACCCAAAACAAGCAACACAAGCCCACGAAATTCCATATATGGATGCATTTAAATAAAACATACACTTTGGTAAAGATAACTGCCCACTCATAGTTCTAATGAACAAAGCCAACTCTGATTATGAGAATAATTTATGTCCCAATCAACTCACTTTCCAAAATACATTCTGCAATCTCTGATAGAACTTTATTTTTTTATTATTATCACTGCATTTGAGAAGATAATATATAACATCTTCTACTAAGTTAAGACAGATGTCACCAGAGGGACACGTTAAGCCCACTGTGACTGGTTTGCAGTACAGATCATCGCTGATGCATGAACAGAGGGAGAAAGTGTATACGCATCATCAAATCACCTGCCGCTACATTTACTTAGGAGGTTTGGTATATAGTTAGTGAACATAGGTATGTTTTACTTTCAGCCACACTTCAGTTCTCCTTCCTAAGGGTAACATTTGTGTCTGGTCTGTGCAAGGCTTACTTCCCACACATGCAAATCAGTCTGAAAAGATGTGACTCTCTGCTTCCAACCAAAAAAAAATAAATCTGTTAAGCATGGAGAGCAGGATTTCTGGAAGATGTTGGTATTAGTTTATTCTATACTATAAGCAAACACACTCTCCAATTCTCTACACACAGAGGAGGTTCCTAGATGGTTTTCAATGGAGCTCCTGAGCTTCCTCACTGCGCTGCTTCAGGTAGTAAAGGCAGAAGTTTCCTAAGCTGATAGTCTCTGTGAACTCTGCAGGAAGATGAGCCTCCTGCAAAGTAGGATGAGTAAGAACGGCAGCAGGAGAGGCAGGCAGAGATCCAGAGGAAGCAGCAAGGAAGTAGGGCAAGAAGGGAGGGAGTGAGTTTCTCCCTAAGCCAATGGGCACAGTCCCCTTCAGACAGCCAGCAGGGAATTTCACTGTCAGCCAATGTCACTGCAAATCCAAAATTCAGTTCTAGGCTTAGGCTTAGGCAGATTCTCCACTGGCTGCACAGATTAGCCATCATGAAGAATAAAGATATTTTAAAAAAGCATCTCTAACAAGGGCTGAATAATCTGCCTAACAGAAAGAAGTTATAATAGTGTCCCTTCACAGCATCCAAAGAGCTCGGCCTCCCCTGGCCGTTCTGAGCCGTGTCTCTCAGGGTGAGAAGGCCACAGACACTGAGGGCTGCTCTCAGGGAAGGTGATCTTTTTTAGGACTTCCAGGATTATTACTCAGAAAAATACAAGTGAAGACACAAACAAAATAGCAATGTAAACGTAATTTCTGTCTCAACTGACCGATGTATTTGTGTTAGAACCTGGAGGCTCCTCTAAAACGGGAAGAGCAACAGCCTTTGTTTTTTTAAGTGGGTATCTGCTCTGTAACACTTTCAACGGCATTTTATGCTTCAGCTTAACGCTTCTGGAGCCCAGCTGCCTGCAGGAGGGCTGCAAAGTAACCATTTCATAGCGCTGTGCCCCCAAAAAGTGGTGTCACCAGCACAGCCTTTGAACAAGGGCTGAGCTCTCCTTTCTGGGCAAGCCCCAAGCCTTTCCCTGCACACCCACCGGACGGCCCACCCGGGAAAGAAACACACTCAAACCTCCATTATTCCCAGAGAGACCCCTGTTTTCCCCGGTCACCGAGTCGAACCCGACTTCCAAGCCCCCGAGGTGGCAGCCGTGCCCGGTGTGAGGGGACAGGCCGGCACCCAGCCCCGCTCCCGCACCGCCTGCCACGGCCGGGGCTGCTTCCCGGTGGGCAGGCGGAGAGCGGAGGCCCCAACCTGCCCCACAGACCGCCCCGTTGGGACGGGAGGGGCTGCCCTAACCGCCCCGACCGCGTCCGCCCCCCGTTCCCCTGGAAGCCTTCCCCAGCCCACCGCCTCTGGGGGAAGGAAGGCTGGACCCGGCCCTCACCGGTACTGCTTGGGGTCGCTGGGGGACTTGACGATGTCGGGGTCTCCCACGTCGGGGCCCGGGCCGGATCCGAAGTCCCCGCGGTCCTCCTCATCCCCTTGAGGCGACCGGCCTCTGACGTCGCGGCCGCCCTCCCCGGCCTGCTGCCCCACCGCCAGCTCCGGACAGCTGTAGTTCGACGTCGCCTTGTTCCTACCGGGCATGGCGGCGGCGGTGATACCGTACCACAGCGGCTGGGCAACGGCACGCCCCGGCCGGCCGCGCCCCGCCAGGCCGCGGGCCCCTGCCCGCACCGCTCGGCCGCTCCGTGCGAAGGCGGCCGCGACACTGCGCATGCGCCGCCGCCGCCGCCCCGCCGCGGACCGGCCCCGCTTCCGCCGCACGAGGAAGTCGCGGTGACGGTTTAACGACGGCTGCGGAGCGCCCACCAGTCAGCGCCCGCCGCGGAGCCAGGTGGGGGGAAACGGACCAATCCCAGGCCGGCGCTTCGTCGGGGTCAGGGCACTGATTGGTGGAGGGGGAAACGCTGGTGGCGTGGGAAGGGAGTGGGGGAAACCATAGGCGGGGGGAGAGGCGGCCCCGGTCAGAAATCAGACGGAGAGAACAGAGAAATCGGAGGGAGGAGGGAAATACAGAGAAATAGAACCACATCTCGAGAACTCCCCTCTGTGCCGCCGCGGCCTGGTGTTTATGCCCGCCTGCCGCGTTAGCTGTCCCCCCTCCGCCTTGCGTTGGAACAGTCCAACTGCTGGTTGGCGGAGGCCCGCCTTCTCTCATTCCCTTCAACTATTGGTCTAAGGAGCTGTCGCTCACTCCTGACAGAACCAATCAGCTCGCGCAAGCTGCCGGAGGAGGAGTGTGGCGCGCAGTCCCCTCAGCGCAGGGCGGGGCGGCGGCCGGGCCCTCACGGCGCAGCCGCGGAAGGAGGAGCAGGGGCGGGACCGTAGCCCAGGGACCGGCTGCGAACCCCGGTCTCCAGCCGGCACCAGCCCCGAGACCGGCAGCGGGACCCGGTGGCGGAGCACAAAGGCGCTGAACTCGAGAACGAAACTTGGCACGAAGGAACGGGATGGCGGCCACCGGCCTCCCTCAGCGGTCACTGGAGAAGTCAAACGCCAACCGCCTTGAATCGGTTTAAAGAAACGTGGCTGTGCTTAGGGTTCAAAACGCCTGCCCGCACGGATGACCCGGTAGCAAATCTAGCTTTCAGCAGGTATTTTTCAACACTTATGGGAGCTAGACTCGAGTTTGCGATTTTATTTCATCCAGCAGTACCACGGGTCTTTTGAGACATCCAGTATGTGCTTACTGTTGACAGCTGATTTTTTACCTTTATTTCCTCTTCTAATGGCGTCCTTAACAGCTTAAGGTTTGTAGCCATGACTATCTAACAGAAAACACTGTTTATTCATATTCTCAGCATTTTCCAATTTGAGAATACACAGAAACAGAAGTGCCGACGCAGCAATTTCAAGTCCTGACAACAGGAACGCAGCTTTTCCGCTTGTTTTAAATCTCTTTGAGGCTGGCGTTTCCCAATAGCACACACTGCCAAGATCCTTCTTCTCGTAACACTTTGAGAGCCGTTGGGAAATCTGCCATTGCATTTATCACATCCTTTTTGCATTGTTCCACGTTGCTCAGTTCCCTGCTAATAGCAGTGCTGTGAGTTACTGTGTGTGTAACTCTGTTGACTGCAAAAGAGATGATGAAAGGAAAATTGAGGGGTCAGAGGCTAATACAAATGGGGGGGTGGGCTGTCTGAGACACAGAGACAATAACTTGGGCCGGGTGGAAGGTAATTTAAGTGGATGTCTACCTGATACTTCAGTGCTTTATTTCTCCACCAGATGGAAGCCAAGACCCATGTCTAACCCAGAGCCTCCTGCATGGCTTTTACTGGATCTCTGTGCTCTCAGTGCTGTATTCTACAAGCAATAGAGATCAGCTTGTGAAAAACAATTGCCTCTTCCCACCACATTCTAGTACCCCGGTTTTTATCTTGTAACCTTACTGTTTTTTGCAACACTATTCTCCTGGGCCACTGCCAGTCAAATCAAAGGCTCTATACGAGTCCCCATCAAGCATTTTGGGTTTGTCTTCAGTGCAAGCAAGTCTGTTATTTCCCTTGACAAATGGCTGTCTCACATTCTGCTATTACCTCTCACAAGTTAATACAAGTAACGATTATTATTGGCTCTCTGGTGATACTGAAATCAGCTGCATGCCACTTAAGGCAAAAGGCCTGTATTCATTCACAGCTTTTAATACAAATTTAAGATGATGAGGTACATCTCTCCATTAGGCATCAGTTGCCTGTGGCGATTTGATTTCTTATTTGAAATAAACTCTGGAGGATTTCTACACCCAATACGCGGTTTCTCCATGTACACAATATAGGGCAGGGCAGAATTCATAATTGTCTTTCCCAGTTCTTCAGACTATACTGCCATGTAGCTACCTGCTCTCTTGTGCTGTAGAAAACAATTCTGCCCATCCTAGCTTGAGGAACCTGGAATGTCGTTGTATTATTCTTTAAAAAATAATAAATAAATTACATCTGACTTGACAGGAACACAGTGAAACACAATTATATATTGGGTAGAAAAGAGAAATGTCATTTTTGCTAGGGGGAAAAAAAAAAGCTAAAACAAAAGAATTGAAATTTCATTTCTGCTGAATCCATTTTCTTTTACCATAAAGTTGCTGAGCTGAAAAATCATTATTTGCACTGAGATACTCCATTATACCTGTACAGTTCAAAATCATTGCTCCCTGCTGTGGAAGTTTTTAATTTCTTTTTGCTAGTTACACAAGTTGCCCTAAAACCTGCTTCTGCTACAGTTAAAACACTGCACTGCACATTTATTGGCCAAATAATCCTTCTTTTCAGTTTGTTTTAAATCTGCGTAGTGTTTCCAGACTGCTGGGCTCAAGGGTCATCACCCTGTCAAAAAAAGACCAACGTAGTTTGATGTATTTTGAAAGCATTAAAAATATACCTTCTTTACACATGCACACAATTGCCTTATATGCTAGTAACGAAGCTCACAAACTCTCTGGCCACACCCGGTGACTACATTTCTCTTTATTTTGCAGTTTCAGGGGTTTAAGATACAATAAACCACATTCCACAAATCGCACTTCCAGCACTAGATCACACACGCCCAAAATATGTCACAGTAAAGATTTCTGAAAGCAACATCCAAACAAAGGAAGGGATTGAGCCTTTAGCACAACGAGCTCAAACTACATCAACGCAGTTGCGTTTTTTGCCGGAATATTGTGCTTTTTTTCTTGGAACTATTACACTTTGAGACAGAACGAAATCACAAAGGCATTCGCTAGTGTCATGGTCCAGCAAATTACAGTGCAGTGGGCGGATATTCAACTCCAGGTTCTGACATCAGAAAGTCTTCCCCACTCAGAGGGGTTCACAGGCCTAAGGTAAAGCCATAAAACTACTCAGAATTTTCACCCCAAGACAGCAAACTCTCCGTATCCACCTAATTTACACTTCCAGATGCAATTTGCAACCACTCTCTGGAGCTGGGCTGCACAAAAGAAGTGTGTGATCACAAAGGCATCCAGTGTTTGTCGTTTCACAGACTGGCAGAAGCTGTTCTCCCATGTATCTCAGAGAGATACCAGCTCTGCGTGTGGCCAGTGCGCACGCAGTTCTGCACAGGCAGATGCAGAAGTTGTATAATTTTTGACATACTGGAAGAACATTTGAGATGTCAGGCATTAAAAATTGTTCCTCCCTTCAAAGAATGATGCAACAAACCCTCCACAGAATCACTTAAACAGGACATCTTTGCCATTTTTCATCGGCTGTTATGTTTTATTTATATATTTATTTATTTATGTTTTGTCCATCAGTCTTCCTATTTTTTAAGTTATACTTTGTGGTTGAATCTGAAACCAGAAAAATTATCACCACACACGCACCCATTTAGCACAAAATTAAAAAAAAAAAAAAAAAATCGACAACAAAATGCAGAAAGAAAATCTAATAATCTTGGCACTAATATTGGCCAACACTCACATTTTGGCTCCTGATATTTTTTATCTTTCTGAGACAGAGCTCCTCCAAGTCTTGCACGTCAGATTTTGCCTCCCAATGAAACATGCAGCTGATTCCTCTTTTCCTGCAACAAATCCACCACCAGGCAGTCAATCCGAGTAGATCCTAACCTGGAGAGGTGAAACTATGGGACACAGTGAGAGGAAAACCTGCAGGAGAATTGGCTCTTGTGCTTCCAGAAAAGATGGATTTGGGACAGCAACCCCCCCAACACCCCATACACCATCACTGGTGGTGGTGGTGGAGAAGGCTGCAGGCAAAGGCTGCCCCTGGAAGGGCTCTTGGTCCTTCACCCAGCACCCACCAAAAGCACAGGGAAAGCAGGTTATGACTGCAAGGCCTTCTCTTCCTCCTCCTCCTCCTCCCCTGCCTGGCAGCTTTGCTTCCTCCAGGTGCTCTCCCTCCATTTACAGGTTTGACACAAAATCCACCCGCCCGTGGAGGGTCTCTGGAGGACCTCCAGCTGTCAGGCAGAAACACACTGCCTTCTGCTCCACCGTACAGAAAAACTGAGGTCTGTGTCTACAGGATGGTGACAATGACTCAAGATATCTGGGGACTGATATTATTTTTTTTAACATAAGAAAAAAAAAGCCTATTCTTGCTTTATAAGATATTCCCCCCCCCCCCGTATCTGGTACCTTCTAATTGGTTTTAACGTTTCCTGCTGTTCTTGACAAAACACCTCTTTCTGCAGCGCAGGAATTTATAATTAAAAATGCAACATTATCTGTGGAAATAACATTTGCAACACTATACAATTTTTTTTCTTCAGCGTAACTCACATTAACACTAGGTGCACTTACAATATTTATTCAGATTTTTGTTGTTTTGTTTTGTTTTGTTTTTTTTTAATTATTGGATGAGGAAATATATAATGTTAACACTCCAGCACATTAAACAAACACACCAGTTTCCTACAACAGAGACTTCTGCCTTTGGACTACATGATAATGCACCACCACAAATGAAAAGATAAATTTTACTCAAGAAAGGAGAAGGAGGTTTCTTGGTGAGAAAGGTGACTAGCACGAGCAGTTCTGCTGCGAAGGCGGGGGGTTGTCTGTGAGTCGCATGCTCCTTCCCAAAGTGCCCCTGGAAGGGTCCGATTCTATACTCTCCGACATCTTCTCACAGATTATATCCACCAGACGCTCAAACACCTGCCTCACATTGATGTTTTCTTTGGCACTGGCTTCAAAATAGTCAAAACCTGTGAGGAAAAAGTAGAAAAAAACCCCTAGGTTGGACTAGATGGTCTCCAGAGGTCCCTTCTAACCCCATATCATTCTGTGAAATCAGTAGAGACTGATGATAATGGAGATGGTTTTTAAAATACTAAAACAATTTTTTCAGAATTTCCCTTAAGGAAACAAGACATTAGATGGTTCTTAAACTTGGTTGATTCCCACAATCTCAGAACAGTGCGAAGAAATACTTCTAAAATTCATCAAGCATCACTAAGTGTCAAGGGGATAAATGGATCCTTACCACTGCCCTGGTAACCACATCTGCAGATGGTACAGACCTGAATGAACCCAGGACAAGGGAGTCAGATTCTCCCCTTACTTCTTTTCAAAGGGAAAGGGAAAGACAAGTCATCTTAACTGATCAGTCCATCACTGCTGGTAGACTGAGTCACCTTGACATGTGAGATGAGTAGGTACCTACCCCATTTTAACACTTTTTAAAAATCATGGGACAACGGGTGAAGTGATGGTGGAGATGTTTGCCTCGTTACTAACTAAGGACAGCTGTCCTGCATCAGAGGAGGGCTCTGTCTGCCCCACTTGCTGTCTTTTTGATGATGGTTAAAAATTTATATAAAAGGCACAAGAAATCAAAGAACTGAACTTAGATATTTGTCAGTCTAATGTTGGTTTAGCTTCTGCTGTGGCATAATCTGTTTTATCTTGGCTCACGTTCAGGTCGATAACAATTTCTTAATCTGATTAGGAAATGATTTCAGTGATGCTAATGTCACTATACAAACTGAGATTAACATGCTGAAGGATAAATTCTACGTGAATCATTATGATGAAAGCTAGCAGTTTAAGCAGTTCGATAGTCAATTAAAAAGATTCCTCCCACCTAACACACCAAGTAATTCCAGATAATGCTGTACACATTAGCACAGTTAAGATAAGGGAAAACTGACTGATAAAACCAGATACACTTTTCAGCCCTTTTAAAAAGAGCATTTAGTATTTTGGGAGGCTACAGAAGAGGAGGACTGGGACCACGCTTTCCAAAGGCAGGGGTTGCTTTTGTTTCTCCAGGGAGAGGAGAGGTCGGGCAGAGAAATGGGGATTCTTCAGCAGAACAGTTTCCTACTGATGGAGCCAGTTGCTATGGTAACTCTGCACACGCCTGTGTTTGGAAGTGTCCCATACCTAAAGGGTTCAGATTCGAGATGCCAAGATTGTCTTTAAACAAACAGGTGAATTTTGGTGGGGAGCAAAAAACACGGGAAGTCCAAAGAGGAGTGGGAATTCCAGTAAAACTCTCTATTTGCTGTTACATTGTTCTGGACAAATTTTCAATTACTAACAGTGTGATTACTCTTGCAAAATATGTGGGTGCACATGCATTCACAACGGGTTTGAAAGTCTGTGAGCCAGGAACCGAGTTTATTCACATTCATATTTTCAAAAGCAAATTATATGGTGTAAAAAAGAGCCCATAACTGATTTTGCAAACTAACCATGTCTTTCTTTGCTTTGCTAATCCTACATATAAAGAGTTATTATTACAATAATAAAAAACATAGGAAATTAGAGGGTTTAGTTTGATATTTGCTCATTATTTGTTTATGATGGCAGTGCCCCCAGTGATGAATGGGACCCCTTTGTGCTCAATGTCTGTTGAATTTATACTTGAAGGCTCAAAACCCGCAGGCCTTTGCAGACATGATTTTTTTTTTTTTCCTTTTTTGCACATGAAACATGAAAAAATAATCTGATTGCTCTTAACGCTTTGGAACAGGGACCACCCTTTTGTTTCTATCACGCAGGTCCCTATCACAAAGCCACACTTTATACCCATCTATGAGCAGGGTTTCTACACCTTCCCTTCATTAAAAAAACCAAACCAAAACAACAATAACAAAACCTCTAACTAATAAATACTCATTACCTAAGATTTAACCATAATTGGCAATTTGATCAAGGTCACACTTTACCACAATGTATTGGAACTCCAGTACCCCCAGTTTAACAATATATTATGCACCTTCCAGTTACTGCTTAAGAATTGAAGACAACGTTGGATTTTATAAATTGGGGGGTGACGGTGATTCCTTTGGGTCTTGGAAGAATCTCTACTCTTACAAGTTAAACAAGTATTTACCTCGTGCCCACTATAAAAGTCTCCACTGTTAACTGAATTAAATTTTAACAGGATTTATTTGCGCTATGAATTCCTTAAGAAAAGACAACAGTATAGTTAAATCTTAACACAGAAGCCCTGGTGCCATATTAAAAAGATCATATATGCTATAATATATAATGAAAAAATGATAAGTTATTGAGAAATTAGGATGAGTTTATTTTGCTGTGCATTCTAAAATTTTCCTTGCAATCCCAGCTTCCTCTCAATGGAATTGTTTTGCTTTGTCTATCCCACATCAGTAACATAACATCAATTCCCTTCCTGGACAGAGAAGCCTGGTACATTTTTCAACTATATTTTACTCAAGTCTACAAGTTTAGATGTATAAACTTCTTTTTTCATTGTTTAGTTTAAAAACAAAAAATAAAATTCTTCTACAAAAATCAATGTTTGCATTCTGGAAATGACTATATGGTACTTGGAGGCCTGGAGACAGAATTGTGCTTATGAAAAATTTTTCTCTTTTCATTCTGCTGAGCTAATAAAAGCTGTTCTCTCCAGACAAACTTTATCTTCCTCACATCCCTAGATAGTAGCTTCACAGGCACAGCAACGCTACAAGAAGGTAGTATTCAGCACTAAGCAAGTAAAATATCGACCTAGAATATATTACGCTTCTTAGTTGTGATACCATTATTCACGTATTAGTGCTGGAAGGACTTTTTTATCTTACACACTAAAAGGAGCAGAGTATAAAGAAGCAGAGGAAAAAGAGTAGAAAGAAAAGCTTTGAGGTATACCTAGCTGATCCGCCAGATGTTTCCCCTTCTCCACGGGAACAATTCTTTCATCCTCCATGTCACATTTGTTTCCGACCAGGATCACCTGTGCATTGTCCCAGGAGTAAGTCTTGATTTGTGTGGCCCTACAGCAGGTCAAAAAAAGGTTGGTACATTCCATCAGCTGTGCCAAATTAGAATCATATGTTAAGTATGAAAACAAGTACCATTAATGATAACATCAACATCTCAAGGCTGAATGTTGGTTAAAAGACAAATGACCAAGCTGACACAAAGCAAGAGCACAGACTATGTAATTTATAACACCATTCTATTTTACTAGCCTTAACGTTGTGAGACAATAAAGTTTCTTGTTAAGACTTTGCAAGTGTTTCAAAGATCCTGAGATCCAGACAAAAAGCCAAATTGAATAATTTTTGAAGTCTAGGGACAAAAAAGGCACACTTCTAAAGCTGATTCTCCATGTGTTATCCGTCAGAGGAACAACAATCAATTACACCTCCTCAAGATATTGTCCCTATAGAGAAAGCCATTCAATAGATACACACCCCATGCTACATTTACAACTTCTTATAAAAACACCTAACGATTCAGAGCAGACAAAAAAGATCCTCATTTGCTGCAGAGTTTTAGTCACACCATAAGAAATTGTGTTTTGAGACTCAAACAGATGGAAGCATCAAACCATTTTTGCTTGAACAGGAAAACTGGTTCATGGAGACTGAAAATTGCATAGAAACGTGGAAACACACGCTAAAGAGAAACACAAATTCACTGAATCGGGAAGATACAGGACCAAGGTAAGGCTCTGTGAGTTAATATTTGAACCCAGCAGGATTAAGTGATACCTAAGGCAGGAAACGGCAGATGCAATGACAGACAGCAAGTATCAAATGCCAACTTCAATGACAGAGGGACCGAGTGCAGGGGAGCTTAAGCAGGAGCCCTGGGATGAACTTAAACCCTCTAAAGCTCTCTGGGGCTCATGTGTTGAAACTGGAATGGAGCTCACTGTGGATCCCAAGAGTCTGACCTTAGATTTGGCCTTTTAATAGTTTTTCTCTGGCAAAAAAGATGATTTTTTTTTTCTGTTTATTCTGAGGGACCAGTCCTTTCCCGCCATCCTTGGTGTCACAGAGCCAGCAGCAGAACAGCATTAGTCTGGTAGCATTAATTTTCATCCATTTTTTTCAGACCCAACTTATTTTATCTACACCAAGTCAGCTCTATCTTTTAAGACTCCCTCCTTCCCAAAGGTAATTAGGCTGCTCTGCCAGAAATGATACGCTCCTTCCCTCCTCCAGTCCCTAACTTGCCTTCCCACTCCTTGCCCCTTCACACCAGCCCTCCACACAGGACATTTCAGTTTCAGGCAAACCTGCCATTTCTCCCAGGAGAGCCAGGAGTCCCCTCAGATTTTCACTTGTGTTTAGTTTGCTTGAACTCCCTTAACAATAAAGTACTCGATTCCTTCTCTTTTGAATTAGCAGCAGCCTCCAGCTCTGATCTACTAATGATAATTTTTAATTAGTTTGAGTTGCTTACTTGCCTTTTCCACGGAAAGCAACCAGTCACGTTACTCCACAGATACCTGTGAAAAAGGGGGTCACCTCACTGTGCAACTTGCCTTTAAGCACAAGCCTGTTTGGATCGCAATGGAAAACATAAACCTAAACCAGGCCCTCTGCACAACCAGCAACACACAAAAAACCCCAAAGACTTTGTGCAGTGAACCTTCTTACTCTTCCTAGTGTCCTCCTGGAAATACACTCACTCCAATCCCAATTTTGGCTCCTCCACTCCCACCCTTTTGAGTGCCTCCAGGTGGAACAAGCCTGGTGAGAGCTAATACAAGCCTGTGATGAGTTGATGTGGTGCTCTGGGGTTTCTCAAGGCTCACCACAGAAGGGGGTGACCTCAGAAATCAACTAAAAGCCCAGGAAGATGAAATCTCCCCGGTCTCCCTTCATAAGGAATAGAGAAATAGAAATAAAGTCTCTCCAGATTAAACTTAAAACACCTCTTTCTGGATTCATTTCAGCCCCCTGGGGGGTCGTATAGGGACACAATGCCAAATCTTAGCTATTTAAACAGAATTACTTCGAAAATGAAGAAGAAGGAAAAAAAAAAGCACAAAGAAACTCCCACAGAAACTCATCCTTTTCCTTGTTCTGTACAAGGTAGGGAAAAACCTCACTCACAGAACTCTGACATCTACACTTATTAGGAATAAAAAACAAGCAAACAAAAAAACAAAGTTATGGAGAACAACATCTAAAAGAAACCCTAATCCCCATACAAAAAGAAAGGCAGCAAATTTCCAGAAGCTTTTGGAAAGGCAAATAAATAAATAAATAAATAAATAAAAAGGCCTGTGCAATTGAGATGTTTCAACAACTATCAGGGCAGTCCAACATACACACTGGGGAAAATATATTTCTGTGACACAGTAACAACGCTGCGCCTTATTTGTGCTGAATTCCCCAAATTAACGATAAAGCATGGATCTTATGCTTCACGCTTTGAAGAAAAATAGTTTCAGGTTCACAGTTACATAGATACATCAACAACCTAATTTGGCGATCAGCCTTAAAGATAAATAAAGCTGATGATTTGTGGAACCAGCTGTAACTTAAATGTAAGTTAAATTTAACCAATTTTTTCTTTCCTTCTGTGAAATTGTCTAGATTGTCCAAAGCTGAGTTTCCATAACGTTTTCTATTTCCTTTACAGTATCAAATGCTGAGTATATTCTAGTTTCAGTACAGTTTCAAATGAGCTATAAAACTACTGATTTATCTACACACAAAACTATCAAGCCAATGTCAAATAAGAACTGTCAAAGGAACTTACTGAAAAAGCTGTAGAAACTGAGCTGAAAGCCATGAAAGCTTATTTAACCCTTTTACTCACCCTACAGGAAAGACATCTTATTATTCGAACAAAACAATTAGTTATTTTCAAATATCAGGTAAAATCCATCTTTGCTTTATTAATGCTTTTTCTTGTAAAACAGCCTGACTGTACTGTTGCCACACTGCAGTAAGGAAAATCACTCAGGCTTAATGTTTTAAGGCTTCTCACAATCTGTTGTACCTTTCCCAGTGAAGGAGCAAGAGAACGGGTCATTTCCTAGATATTCCCAAATGCATTGGTATGATATGTGTACCATAACTCATCTCAGCTGCTTTAAGATAATAAGCATTAATTGGGGTGATTCATGTGAACAAGGGAAAGACTGTACTTGACATTCACATACTACCTGGAGAGCTTGTCTAAATACCTGATAAACAGCCACGATCCTCCTCAGTCAGGAGAAAGAGTGCCTTCACCTGGTTGAGGTGAAGCATTTCTGGAGTGACACAAAGCAAACCAGAATCCTCTTTAGGACATCCACCCATAAAGAAGGGTGCAGTAAAAAGATCACCGAAGGAAGAGATCATTCGGCAGACTGGAAGAGACATTCTCATTTCCTTTCTGGGCAGGTGAGGCCAGGTCAGGAGGCTGTTAAAACAGTCATATGCCAATGAGCCAGCATCCATGGTTGGAGCTCCAACATGGAGCCAAACTCCAACATCCCCCCTAAACCTGCCTCCCATGGAGCTTTGTGAAAAGGCTTGGAGAATAATAAGGCTGGTGAGCACAACCTGCTGCGGCAATTTGCCAGCTAGGAGGAGGATATAAACTCTAAGATGATGGAGAGGTCTAGAAGGGAAAAGACTTCTCTCTGGGGGAGAGCTGACTGCACAAGGCTACCTTCCCACAATTCCAGTGTAATTAGGAAGATGAATTTTGAGATCTATGTGCACACCCTCACACACACCCTTCTGCTCAACAGAAGGTAAGAGTTTGCCATGGGAGAGGGCTTACTTGGAGTGCTAGGTCTCTGGTTCAGCTGTTCGTTCGTGCTTTTGGCTTGTTTTCTGTAGGGAACTCTGCAGGAAGAGATGGTACAAAAGAAAGCAGTGAGGTGGGCCAAGATTCATGTTGACAGCCTGCTTAGTTCCGCATCTTAAAACCACCACCTGAATCACTAAACAGCAATAGGCAGGGCACCGGCAAGAAGTAACGGGCTTTAAAACTGGAGAATGTCCTACTGTAAGACACACAGATGACTACTGTACTCAACTCAACCCATTCCAAGGTTTTAATTTCAAGGCGACAATTTTAGGACCAAGGAATTATGTTCAGGTGGGAAGTTCTTACCAGCCAATGAAAATGGACTGGGATGGGCAGCAGCCAAAAGTTAGTGGAAGGGGCATCGCCTCAGATTTTATTTGCTGATGATTGTTTTGAAGTATCCTCCTAAGCTTGATTTTATTTGCTTTATGATCACATGGCAGGTGGCTTACTCATGTTTTTATGCCAGAGAAACACTCAGATTTTATCCACACGGTATTTTAGAAGTAACTGGGAAGGTTAACAGGTTCCTTACTGGATTTAATTCACATTAACCGAGTACTTCTGGTTTATTCTCAATATCTAAAAGGTCAGCCGATCTGCTGCATCATGCTGCATTTATGACAAAATACTCAACAGTATTCTTTATTTAGTGTAGCTGAAAAACTGAGAAACACATCACTAGCCAGCTAGGGTAGCAGGAAACTTAAAAGAAAGGATGTGTAGGATTAATTGCCATAATTTCTGGAAACTCGCAGGATGTAAGAAGCCCTGGGATGAGCTTGGCTGTTAGCTTTTGCTTATATTCTACGTGGATGCCTCATTTAATTTCAGTGAGGGCTGAAGTATGGTCTTAGAACCAGCATTGTTTGTTGTAGCCTCACCTAAACCTCTGCAAGCTGAGAGGCAACTCACACATTGGGCCACACACCTTCCTTGCAAGGTCAAAAAGCAGCTTCCAACTTTGCCATTTCCTGGGAATCTAGGAGGAACACTACTGAGGGTGACAGCTTCATAGGTGGACAAGAGGTGATTCAGGCACTTGTCCTCCCATCAGATTGTCTCACGTCCCAAATACTGTGGGTCCAGCCCTCTCCCTCTTATGGAGGTCCTCCCTCTTGGGCACAGCAGGCAGAGTGGGAAGTGTCCTGTCCACACAGGATGGATGAAGCAAGGTAGAGCTGACCATCAGGGGCATGCTGCTGACTTCGCAGCCTGTGCAGCTTCCCAGTTGCTGCCATGGTCTCACCAGCACCAAAAGAGAAGCACTGCAGGACTGCTAAGGCTCTGCTTTTATGGTGAGGCATGCCGCTGCTGTCCTGCACTTGACCTGAAGAAGGGACTAGGCTCATGGAGATAAAGGCTCTGAGCTAAAGGAGCTCAAGTAGTAGACACCTTAATTTTCCAGGGAGAGCAGAGTTTCTGATTGAGAACCAAATCCAGTGTAATGTTTACTTGAAGCATAACTGTGTCACCCAGCATGGTGAAAAAAAACCCAAACCCCAAATCCTACCTACTCACTATGGTAGCACATGGCAGAGGCTGATACAGCAGCACCATAAAAAGCTTTTGTCCCCTTTTGTTCTATTTCTTGTCCCTCCCTAAGTTTAGAAAGCAAATGTGCAGACTGGGAAAAAAAAACCAACCAAACAACTTCTCTGGGCTGCATTGCCACTAGAGGACTCTGCTGGCACAGCGATGCTGGCTCTGCTACAGCCCGCATCTCCTCTCCTGTGGACCAGCTTCAGAAAGGAAGGAAATGCATTACCACTGGCTGGCTGATTTTATCTGCCCGGCTGCATCACTTGGGCTCGGGATCTTAAAACTGGTTGGAAGGATTCCTGACATATAGAGCAAAAATAAACTGATGGTTCACCTCTGTCCTTTGGCTGAGAAGGTGCTCTTAGCAAGGATATTCGTTTGGCCCCCATGGCACAGGGAGACATGAATTCAAATATCCAAAGCTGACCTTTCCTAATTCTTACTCGTGCACCATCGCCTTTGATGGAACAGAGGTTACACCACTTCCAATACAAAGCTTCAGGTTAAACTCCACCTGCACAAACTTTAAAACAGTAGCAGATTTGGTATTTTTTAGCAAACTTAAGACTGCTAAGCCAAACTTATTACAGAGGAACTACAAGACAGACAGGTGAACTGGTCATAGGTACCCTGTTTCATCAGGGAACCAAGCAGAAAATATTTATAGTTCAGTGAAAGATGTTGCCCTAGCTCACATGCCTGCACTCCCATGGGAAAAAAATCCCTGCACAGGCACTTGGAGAAACAGCTTCATCTGATCTTGGTGGAGGGTGTGCCATGTGGAGGAACCCAGTTTTGGCAAAGCCTTTGGGTTTGTATTTCTAGCAAGGAAAAACAAAAAGTATTCCTCTATCATTAGCTGCTGACAGACACCTCAGGAGAGGTGTTGCCGTTCACCTTCTGCAGCATCGTGTCCTCATACTGGAGATGGGGTTAAAGTGGAGACTACAGCTTTAGATGTGATGATCATGACCAAGTGCTTCAGTGGACAATGAGAACAAATAACAGGCAGCCTTGGAGGAAGGCCAAATTGCTAGAAACAACAAACCATATTGTTGTGGCTTTTGAGTTACAGCCTGGAAGATTAAGGAATATAGAATAGGTGTTCAACAGAAAGCCCTACTGAGCTGGATGCTAAGAGCCAATGCCGCAGCCAGTGCATGTTCCAGGAGAAAGAGCCTCTTCTGATTTGTTAGATAAAAAAAATTTTAAGTCACCTACACGCCCCTGGGAGGTCACTGAGATCATTGCAGATCAATCTATCAGATTTGAGATATTACATTAACCACCGCATTGCCTTTCTTTGCACGCTGACCTTACCTACCTGCAGTTTATAGCAACAGGGTAAGAAGCTGAAAGGATTGTAAGAAATTCGAGGGGAGCCACAGAGGTACTGGTTCTGAGAGTAAACACAGCCGTTGCCCTCCCTCCCCACGGCCTGTATTTCCTACATAAGTTTGGTGTCCCTTTGAGAGGATGCCATGGCAGAAGGTGAGCTCCAGTAACTTGAGGGTCCAGCCTTCTGCTTATCTGTGCTGCTCCTGAGGCCACTATCTCACAGGAGCAGCTCAGATGTTTTCACCCCAGGCTCTGTGCTGGGTCCCTGCTGAGAAAACACCTCCCATCAGCTGCAGGCATTGCCCATGGCCACAGCAACACGTGCTCTGGCTCTTCTGGGAAGACCTCTACTCTTCCTGCTCCATACATCTACTTGTCTGGAAGGCAGGAGAGCAGGAAGAAGGTCTAGGCCACAGCTCTGCTTCCAAAATCAGATCACAGCGTGGGGTGAGATGGGACATTTCTTCCTGAGGAAGAAGACAGGTGGCATGAGCTGCAGGGGGGAACTCCAGGTAGGGAAAGGAAAGTGCACACCAAAATGCAGCTTTGATACTGCCATGGAGTTTTTAAAGTGACTGACCTGGCACTTTCTTTTTTTCAATGTAAGCCAAAAGCACTTCCTGGCTTTTTGTCATCAGAAAGTCCAGAAATCTGATGTTTCTGCAGTTGCACTGAATGAAGTGGAGCCAGAGAATCTTTTTCATAGCTAGTTTTAGGGCCAAGTCCCCACCCTTCCCATTTAATAGACAATTGCTTCTCCCCCATCCCACCATCCCACACTGAGCTCTGCCCTACAGAGTTGTTCAGGTGCCTTCTGTACTGAGGGGTAACAGACAGGTCCCTTTCCAAGGGCACGCTTGCTTTCTGTTCTAAACCTTGCTCTTCCTCCTCTTATTACAACTACAACTAATTTAAACTTCACAAGTTTTAAATGGCTAAAGTGAGATTTTTAATTATCTCAAGTTAGGCAGGGTGAGCACTGTTCCATGTGTCTACACTTGTAGGTTCCAACACCATCACTTTTTAAGGCAGTTCAAAAAGACTTAGACTTAGTAGATTTTAAGTGAGATTTGACTCAAGCAACCACTGTTAAACTGGATTGTTTTAGCAGCATAGCCAGAAACCTTATAAACCCAAATAATGCATTAAAGGATTAATTTCTTTACAGTAAATTAGGACTTTTAAAAGCACCAATTGCTATCGTATGCTACTGTATTTGAATTATAACTTTTTCATGAAAGTGAAGCTGTAGAACTTTTTCTAAGGCGAGTTTAAAAAACAAGCTATTCATCCCAGAGTTTAGACGAAGAGGAAGGAATATGGTGATGCAAATCACTGTGGAAAGTGGGATGTCAAATGTTCTCAACAAAGAATTGTGAGGAGAGAATTGGCCAACAAACCAACCAACCCAACAACAACAGAAACTTATTTCCTACCAGTCCTGCACTGCATTGAAAGAGTCTTCACTGGTGATATCATACATGAGGATGAAGCCCATGGCCCCTCGGTAGTAGGCTGTAGTGATGGTCCTGTATCTTTCCTGTCCAGCTGTATCCTGGAACAGAAAGGAATATTCAGGCTTTAAGACTTCAATTCTCAGAAACAGGAATTATAGTTAGGTCCTATATCTAAAATAAGGCAAGCATTTTCTCTTATTATATATTTTAGATTTCTCATTTGCTCCCACTGAAATGAACTCTACTTAGATTTTAGCATTAATTGGGCTTTTGCATCAACTATGACTTGTTAAATGCATTTTGACACATGTACTATTAAAAAAATAACCAAAGATGTCAACCCTTTAATTGTTCTTCTCTGCCTCAGCCTCAATGCAATAATAAAATCTTAGCAGAGTTCACTGAAAGCTGACACTTGAAAGCAGAAGCAATGGAAAACAGCCCAGGACTGTACCAGGCAAAAGACCTTTAGTGTTGCAATTTCACGTCACAGTCAGGAAAATGTCCTGGCGATAGATGCTGCAGGTGACTTGGTTCTTACCTGAGGTTAAAGACAACAATTAAAGACTTGATGCAATGAAAATTGTTCTAAAAAGTGAATTTAATGTAGAATGTACCAACCACAATGTCTGAGGTGCACATACTAATTTGAGATTTGCTAATCCTCTTCTCTTGGTTCAGCTTAAATTCTCTCTCTAGAGCGCTGAAGAATACTTTTACCTGCAGTTGTCATTTGTATGCTCAGCCTGGCAACACAAATGTGAAACTCTGGCATGTACAACAGAAGCATTTTGAGACCTCTCACAGCTGGAAAACACATCAACTACCATCTGTTGGATGCCAACAACATTTATTCAACACACTTTGGGTGCCTGCTCTTTAACCGAGGAGTACTTCTACATCAGATCCAGCGGTCCTGCAGCCAATCCATTTACCCTGGACCCTCCTTCTGAACCAGGGAGATAAGTGGTGTGCTGAATGTATCTCTCATTCAGGAGGTACCTATCACTTGAACAAGCACATTCCATCCATCTTTTGGCAAATGGCAACTCTGAGAAAGAGCTGCAGGGAGGCAAAAGGCCCTACCTTCAAAACCCATGTTCAGCGTAAGGTGTTGACTGCTACTTACTGTTATGGGTCAGCAGTTCTGAAAGGAATGGTCTCTTTAGTCCTCCAAAACCCACACTTAAGAAGCCATTTACCGCCCCTGGTTTAAAATGAGATTAAAGTTTCTTTTCTCTAGAGAAAGAGACCCTAATGGACTTATCACTCTGGTGCGATAAGTCACTTATCAGCTAGTTGGAAGAGTAAAATAAGGCCACATAGAACTCTCTTGCAGGAGTACAGAGCCAGCTTCTGATCAGACACAGCACACCACCACAACCCCAGAAAACACACAAGGTGCAGTGGGTGGGAAATGACTTAGCTTCAAAATCCTCCAGTCCATCATTCCCACACATGCAGCTCTGTTTTCGCTGCGTGCAAGAGGCAGCGTCGGCCCTTCCAGAACACACGCTGGCCAGTCTCTGAGAGGGGAAAACATCAATGATCACCTGTTGTTCTGCACCAGAATATCACAGAGGCTCTCAGTGGGAGGAAAGCACTTTTAAATACACTCCCTGCAGCTTGCTTAAAAGGCTCTGGCTATTGCACTACCATGAGACTATCCACAGCTGTAACACACCACAAATTTCCCAGTGGAGAGATTATGCAGCATGAATCTTGCTGTTTCTCCACCCCACTTCTGGAAAGAGATGGGATTTTCTCCCTGAAACTTGTGCATTTATTTCAAGACAGGGCAGTCCATTGGCTGACAACGGCCAGGCATTGCACACTGACAGAGAAAGAGTCCTCCTGTTCCCTCCTGACAAGAGTACCTAAATGAGGTGGACCCACAGCCTGAGTGACCATTTCTTCTCCTGCCATTGATAAATTCATCACAGAGCACTCTGGTGTCCACAGACACCACATCCTCGCTGCTAAACAGCTAAACCAGCTGTGCCAGCTAGATCCTGACTGTATTTCAAGTGAGAAAGGTCTCAGCAGCAATAGCATCCTTCTGTTTCTTCAGAGACGTGGTAGTTGCTTTATTTTAGCCTGATTTCCTAAGGACATGAGGCTTATTAAATCATCTGTCTCCACATGTACATGTTCATTATAACTCTACTGACTTTTGATCAAATTTGACTGAGGGGAAACACTCTCAAAGGTACTTTCTTACAAACGTCATGGAAATAGTTGGTGAGGTGACAAAGAGAGACCTTAAGCATACCTTAGCTGGGGGAAAAAGCTTAACTGCAATACCTATCTTTTTCAACAGAGGATCCACAGGGGAGGGGCCCTCTTCATCCCTCATTAGGAGAAAGCCCTAAATCAGTATTAGTAACTTCTCAGATCCTGCAACCAACAAAAAGAAACAAATCCATAGGACGTCGGGGCTTCTTCAGCTCTCATGCTCACAGCGTTATTGTTTTACACCTGCATTCCCAGGTTCTTGTGTCTCCCAAATCTCATCTTCTATTTTCTGCCCTGTGTTTAACTAGCGCTCATTTTGATTTAGGGCATGAGGCCATGACCAGGCAGTAAGCAACCGCAAGGCACGTTGTCTAGCTACACACAGAATAATTTAGAAAGAAATTAAATTTGACAAAGGCTCGGAGCAAGGAGTTAGCTCTGAGGATGTACATCCATCCAGACCGTCCTGGGAAGCAGACCCAAGGGACTCTGAGGGTGGCTTCCAAAACCTACCCTGGTACCATCCCGGTGCCTCACCTCAATGAGGAACTGGACTCAGCCCACAGAGTTAATCTGTGTTACAGGCAAACCGTGCTATTGTCCAAAAACTCTGAAATTTAGTAATTCTGGTTTGTTGATTTCAGGATTCTGCCTGTGAAGCTCCTGTGAGGGGTGGTGAGCCCTGATTTATACATGAGCAAGAGACAGGAACGTGGCTGCAGGAGGGACAGGACCCCAAAGGGCTACACACGTTTCCTCAGTCATAACCTGCTCTCTAGTTGGCAATGAACTTACCTCATTAGGATGGCAATTTGCATATTTATTAGTGTATACTTTGGTGCCTGCCTTCTCAGGTTATCAAAGGCAGGGGGGAAGGCATCCTATATGTCATGGTATGTAAAGTTTATTCATAACCTTGACCTGGTAGCAACGTGGTACAATGCAGAGCTGTGATTCATCTCTATGTGAGTCACTGATGGATTCCTCGCCCTGGTTTACTGTACAGGTACAGAGCATGTCGTCTCCCCTTAAAGGTTTTCAGTTGCATTTCTCCAAATCCATTTGAATTTTTACCTCGGGTTATGTTAGCTTCTTAGACAGCTATAAACTGGCTTAGTTTTCCTGACTCACACCACATTTTATGCTAGCTTCAGTGAGCACCACTGTTAGTTCAACACAAATAAAATAAAACAAATTGCAGAATCTGAGCTCAATTTCTTCAGCTTTTACAGTAGGTGCCCTCACATCATTTTAAAACACCATAAACCTTTGGTAATTAGGCATTTCAGTATTTTACGTGCAAGATGTTTATCTAATGAAGGAGCAAATAACTGACGCAGATTGCTTCCCACCCCCCCTCCCCAAGTTGTTTGCAAGATTTCCAGGTAGACCACAAACTCATTAGAAGACAAGTAGATGAGGCGCAGGCAGGGATCAGCAGAAGCTCAGTAGCTCTAATTAAGAGTCTAGCAAATGCCTGGGAAGAATAGCCTGAGCCCTCAGCATTCAGAAGCCTGTTTGGTTGTCCCTGATGAGGAATCAGAAAGCTTGGTTGTAACCAAGCATGGAAGGGTCTCTGGGAGGTATATTTGCACTAATGTGCTAACAGCTCTGTTCTTTTGTAGTTTATATATGCACCAGTCCTTGATACAAACAATTAAAAAAAAAAACCAACCCAGAAGACCATTAGTTGATAGCTTGAAACAAAAATTTGAAGGTTTTGCATTAATGAGCAATCAAAATTCAGTGTTTATCAGAGGAGAAAAAGACCTAAATGCATTTGCATTATGCGCAGATGCCCTTTACTCACAAGACCCATCACCTAAACATTCAAGACAGGAGCACACCAGCTTTTTTTAAATTTACTTGGCTGTCTCAATAGAAACAGCAAGGTACTGAGACAGGAAATACATTTGAATTTTTAAATCACAACAGATGCTCTTTGCTGCAGGTCTGAAAAGTCAGAGTCTCTGATTCCAAACCATCGTTCTTCTAGTGAAGATTTCCAGCCACGAATTCATTGTTCCAAATAAAATGTCACTGAAACTTCTCATCTGTACTGGATTTAATCCCCTCAGCACCATGACTGTTCTATCAGTGTTTGTGACAAACACCCTCTAAAGAAATAAGCCTTTCAATTTTTTTTTTTTTTAAAAAAGGATTATGGTTTGATTTTGTTGGGTTTTTTGTTGCTTGGGTTTTTTTCTCTTTTAAAAAAAGAACAATACATAAGCATAAGAGTCACCTGTTGTCCAGCTGGTTGGCAGGAATGACAAGATGCATGTACTGAGCGCCATCCTTGCTCAGGCTGCCCAGAGTCAGAACTGAGGCTACAACAACCCCAATAAACCAGCACCGACCACAATTTTGGGGCTTCATCAGCTGTGGTGGAATCTCATCATTCCACACCTTGTTTGGAGGTTGGTCAGCCCTGGAGACAGGGAAATCCACTTTCAGCCCCACGGTTATAGGGGCAGCAAGTTGTTATGACATCAAAGTGTTGGGGAACACCTGACTCCCTGCAAACACAGCTCAGTTCTCAGCAAGACTGGACATCTCCTCTTCTCTACAAGACAGATAACCTGAATAAGCAAGGAATAAAGGCACATCCTGAAGGCAGAGGGCTGTTTGTCCTGCTTCAGGCCAGTCTGGGGCTCAGTAATGCTGGACCCCTTCACTTTCCCTTCGATCAGAGCTCCTGGGTATTACATTAACACACATGCATTTCCTTTGCAAAAGTGGATTTTTGAGTGGAAGCCACCAAGAATCAGGTAAACAAAAGCCAACTTGAGAAAGGAGAAAAAAAAACAACCAAGAACCAGAAAGGTGAGTGAAAAGAGTGACCTTGGGCAGACGGGTATGG